TTTTACGAGTAAAAATGTTCTTTCTCGACAACGAACGCCAATCAAAAAAAAAAAACGTCAGATTGCGCACTACGAGAAAAAAATTTATGAAGACTCTTGTGACAAAAAAAGAACTTTTGCTGTCGCTTGGAAATCCGTATTGTATTTAACACGTAATCTTGTTTGCTAATGAATTTCCGGAAGAAAACTTACTTGTGCCAAAATGTCAAGGCGATTGCGCGTCCAACTTCGATATATATAGTGTATATATGCACAATATATACAAATACATATATGTAAATATATATATATGTATACATATTCCATCGAAGTTTTACTATAATAATAGAACTCTCGCTCCGACGTGAAAGCTACCCCTTACAGAGATAGTTTCCCGGTTGTAACGAACCCTACTGAACTCTGGCCACGCAGCGCGCACCGTGTGCCGCGCTCCCACGGTTTACCATCTTCAACCGCAGAAAACGCAGGTCGCGTCCAGCTTCGTATACAGCATAAAATAGGACGCGCTCGTCCACATAGACGATCGTTATCGAAGAACATATATCTATGATATATTCACTGTCGTGCAACTGTAATTAAATTTTGACTACGTAATGGCTATATGCGCTAAATAATAATTTGGCATCAGCATTAAATAAAACACCGCATATTATTAAACTGTGAAATCATTAGTAAACGTACGGCAAGAATAAAGTTGATCTAGTAAAAAAAACATACATATGTATATATACACTTGTAAAAAACCTAAAATAATTTTCCGAATAAAATAAAATATCCGAAAAGTATTTTTAATCCAGGAAATTTAATCTTTTTTCGTCTTTCATAAAACTGAAAATAATCGCAAGCGCGTAATATTCTTCGCATTTTTGTCATATTTTAAAGATCAATACGAGTCACACTGGCTAAGAGATCTCTCTCGCATTATCGATCGCGCTTGTGAAGGTTTTTCGAGTATTCGACGGATACGGGCGACGTGCGAAGTATTTCGCGCAACAAGTATTACCTAGCACAAAGTGAGATATTCCTCCGAGAATTTCACAATTCCGGATCCTCTAAGAGATCTCCCGAGAGAGACCGTCCTAGGTCCTCTGGAAGACATCTATGTTTGCGCGGAGAAACGGTTAACGCAACAAGTTATCCAACAACCTTTCTGGTGGTGATTCTGGTCGGTTTTATCAATCGGTCCGACTCGTTCCGCACGACTAATTAGTTCGGAAAGAGCTTAGGAGAAAAGTTGCGTCGTTAAACGAAAGATCAACCAGCTGTGTTCCCGGGGAGGATTCCGTCAATCCCCCCGTAATCGCCGGGAGATGCAAATGAGGGCGAAAATGGTATTATCGTCTCCGCGTCGCATAAATACAACCGAGGATCGATTCATCACGAAACGACAGGTCGGGATTAATGACGAATTTGCGGCGTCCGAGCCTCGCGTGTGTGCATGAGTTATGGAGCAAAATTCGCGGTCAGTGGGACACACAAAAAAAAAAAAAGACCGAGAGGAAGGTCGGCGATAATGTTGATGCACGTGTAACTGCAAGGCTCGCGTGATAGCGCGGTACAGGTGGTTTCACAGGTAATCGAGCGAAAAGGGAGAAAAGGTAGATACGGCGAATCAAAATACATCTTCTAGCGGGCCGAGAGCGTGAAAAAAGCGATCGATGAATTTTTATTCAAATATCACGTTCTATCTTCTCCGGTGTGTGACGTGAATACTCTTGAGCATCACACAGTTCCGTAATCTTCCCCCAAAAAAAAACAGTTTCCATTACGACTGTCGCAATTTTCATTCCGCAAAGTATCGCATCGCGTTTACGTACGAGTAAACTTTATATAACTCGAAACAAAAAAGAAAAACGCATCAATAAACATTCGAAGTGACGCGCAATTACGCGCATCTCACGCGAAGATTCATATTATTCTACTGTGATTTATTATCTGTATATTTTTCTCATCTGAATTTTTCAATACACTCACGATCATTAATCACAACTGAAAAGAGTTTCAAAGATCATCTTTCGCGTGTCTGATTGTTAAATTAAATTCATCTATCTGTTTTTCTCTTTCTCCGTTATGAGAGATTTTAATCTATAAATATTTTATCTAGGATCAATTTAGATAAAGTGACGTACGTTTTTTTTTCTTTTTTTTTTTATCGATAATAAAAGAATATTTTCTTGTCTCTGAAGAATCGATTTTTATCGACACGAATTGAATGATGAATTAAAGCACAGGAAAACTGTTGCAAATTTCGAAAAAGTATTACAGAAAGATTAGAGACGGATTATCATAGAGAAACAAACTCAAAACAAACTTTTGAAGTCAATTTTCCAGTAAATTGAGGCGATTTTTTTGGAGGGCGCTCAATGCCGGGAGTTGTTTTTAGATGACACTTTGACTTTAAAGACGCTATCTAAACTCAAATTACTGACGGGGAATGAGGTTTGACGAAAAATGAAGGCCTCGCTAGGGACGCGAATTAAAAATCAATGTAAGTCTTTTTTTTCTTACGAAGCGTGAAAAGATCTGCGATCTCGATTCGCGACTAATTTTCTCGAAAATCAACGTGGGACTTTTAAAAGGTGAAAAAATCCTTTCATCTTATCTCTTGATTCGGTATAATCCATAAAAAGAAAAAAAATCTCTCCGGGAAAAATGTTCTCCTTTAACCTCGTCGTTTCTTTTCGACAAGATTATATCGCTTAAGTCTTCGCGCACAGTCAATTAAATACCGCCGCCGACTTGTCTCAAACTTGTTATTTCTGTTTCAGCTTTGAGAATTTATGATCAATGATTTGCGCATGTTGGCGCAAATTTAATTTGAAAATGTACACGATTGATGACAATACATCTCCCTTGATCCTGGGAAATGCTCTCATAACGTGTACCATCACGTAGACGGCGGCAGGAATTCTGAATGAAATTATGAGGATGAGATTTTATCGGAATTTATACGCTTTTAATGAGATTATTGGCGTTCTACTGTTTCGTGGCAATCGGCGAATGCGACGTTTCGATGTCGAAATGCTGAACATCCGCGGGGATCTATTGCAAAACCATTCTCCGGGATCGGATATACGCGAAATTTCCAAATTAACGAATTTCGAAATCGGCTTACCGTCGCCGAACCGTAAAATAAACACGAGCGTGATTTCTTCCACTTCGATAAGAATTCCAATCGGAATGATCGCATCGATTGCCGGTTATGCTAATATATGTGACTTGTTTGTATGAAATTTACATCTTTTCTACGCACTTAAAATAAGCAATAAGAGATTCACAAAGTAAATAGGAAAGTTACGAGGTATTAAAATTCATATAAAAATTCTAGTAATATCTCTATAATAATAATCATAACAGACACAGTAATAATCAATTTAAAATACATGCGTGTGTACACAATAGCACAATAACAGACAATTTGAGTTTTAAGCGCCCGATCTTGACACGCGACCTTTACTTCTCGCTAGATTAATGCTCATCCCATGTACTTATCTATTCCGATACATTGTCTGGAAATCCTGCTTTTTTTTTTTTTTTTATTGTTCTCGTTCAAAGTTTATTTTCTCCACGTGGAACAAATATCGATCGCGAACGCTAACGCAATTTATTATGAACAATTTAAGAATTAGAAGAACACGGTGAATAATTTTGTAATAGACGGCCTGATTATTTCAGCCGTTGTAACGGCCGAAACTTATACATATGTACAAATCACACGTTTTATTATTAGCGCTCTTCATCGTATTCACTCCGGAAATATAGGTTTAGGAAATCTGCGCGATTCGCGTCTCATCGTCGGACAAAATTTTGTCATTGTGTTGTGCGGCGCGCGGTTCACACACAAGCCCAACTTTAATTTGCAGACTATAACGGACCGGTTAATAGGTCGACGCTGTAAAATTCAACGACACACAGACCCGAACGAGGTCGTCTTTTCTCTTGGTCGCGAGACGCGCGACGAGAACCGACGCGATATCGCAGCAGCCAAGTTTGGCGTCGGGGGGAGAAACACACTAATGGTCGATAATGGAACAGTCGCGCGGTGCGGTCATAATCGAATTACACGCTACCCGTGGTAGCCACTCGTGATCCGCAAAACGGTTATGTTGCGGAAAAGACGACGCGTTTTCTCTGGCGTCGCCAAACGCGGTGACGCGGATCGATGAGAAGGGTCCGCCCCATCCGTTTGCTCCGCGAGAGAGAACAGGGTAATTACTTGTCATTAACGACAGATCCGATCGATCTCGCGATCGCGATGTTTACATTTAAAGCTGCGCGCTTTAAAACATAATGTTAAATACTTAACGGGACATTTCGAGACGCGGGAACGACTTGACATTTGACTCGTTCGCGAGAGTCGCTCAATAAAGAGGGTGAACGACATCGTCTATACACTTTCAGCACAAATTATTTATTTTCTAGTCTCTAATTGAAAATACACTTGGCCTGTTTATCCCGCTTCGTACAGACGAAAGTTCAGATTTTAAATATTCATCTTTTTCTTTCACCTTTTTGACGATAAGTTATCAATATATTATTCTAATGAGACACACGAGAAGATTAACGTATCCAAGTGACCTTTATTATTGTCCTCGGTTATATCTGTAATCTAACTTGTGTGCCGATAACCGTACACTATTACAATGTTAATGACACGCGAGCTGAAGCGCTTGAAGATAATATCGTTTCCACTGCACCGTCTGCCATAAATATGAAATTTGCTGCGTATTATATATTCTCATAATATGCAAGTCATATTTTCAATGAGTCAACTAATCTAGCTAAGATAACAGTAGCGCAATTTGTGCAAATAAATACTCGACATTTGTGTGTGAAACTTAACTTATATCGATTATCAGAAGAATTATCTCAACACTTTCATTATTTAAAAAAAAAAAAAAAAACTATGTTTTCTAGATTTTCCAGCCCCAATCGCCATTATATGCCGCAAATGAGGATTTGGAGGCTCAGCAGGCCTCGCTCGAGCAAACTCACTTGAACGGGCGGCCTTGTCTTCTCCTCCCCAAAAGAAATCTCCGAAAGCAAGAAAATCAAACACGCGGGAGGAGAAGGAATGGTCCCTTGGGCCTTCGGTATAGCCGTCATCTTCGTGTCAATTGCTGGTCTTCTTCTGAATAGCTGCATAATTCTCGTTCTCGGTCTTAACAAACAGGTGAAGCGATTTTCCGTATTTTGCGGAATTTTTTCCTGCGTAAAAATATTGTTTCATTTTTTTTGTTTTTTTTATTTTTTTTATCGCAGCGACAACGCAGCAAAGACAGCTTTTAAAACGCAATATTTTATTTATACGTGCGAATTTAATGATTTTTTAGCACGATTGTTGCAACGTCCGGCGCGCGCACGTTGCAAGCAATAATACATTAGAGAGACGTATGTCCGGCTCTCTCACGCGCGAGTTAACGCGAGCATTCCCGAAACATTTGGTGAAAAAGTTCATGCAACATTAAAAGACACGTTAAAAGCCTATTTGAGAGTCTGCGGGAAAAGAGGGAGAAAAGCTGTTTAAAAAACTAGTCTTAATCACTTGCACGCTTTATTTAGCGCCGGCACGGAGACGCGAGCCGTTGTCTCTTTTTTTTTTTTTTTTTTACGACAAACGATGGCGTTAATTTTATTTGCCTCTTTTTTTTATTCAAGTTTCCGCCTCTATTGAATAATTTTTTCGCGGACACGTGAAAGTGCCATTAAATCATCACAATTGCGAGCGTATTACAAATGAGAAAAGTTTAATAACTAACCGAAATTCCGACTGAGTGTCTACATATCGAACAATTCAGAGAACACGTGTATACTCATGCAGATAAAAAAGTTTTAATTATGAAATACCTGTGGATTTTTTTAAATCGATAGAATTTTGCAAAATCCAATTGATCGGGAAATTCTTCTCTCTGAAAGGAAAAAAAAATAATACCAACCTTTAAACATTTTTATGAAATTCTTTGTAGATTTTTTAGATATCAATTACCTTAAAAGATTTTGATTTTGTCATTTGAAATTCCGTTTGATTTTAACGAACTTCGTTTCTCCGAAATGTTGCAATGCGATCGCAGACGCAGCAACCACAGACGGCAGCGAACAATCTCCTGCTGATCCACTTGAGCGCCGTGGAAGCAGCGGTATGTCTGATACTTTTGATCTTCAGCATGGGGCCGGCCGCCGGCACCTGGTGCGTCTTTCACGGATTTCTTTTAGCGCTTTTACACCCGGTCGCTCTCTGGACGGTCACCGGATTGAATTGCGAGAGGTGAGTTCAATGTTTTTCTCTCTTTCTCTCTCTCTTTGTTTCCTACTTTCTCTTTCGATTGATGTCCGATGTGAAGAAGCGTCCGATGCAAATTGGAGACTCGGCGAAATGAATATCAAGCCGAGAGGCGCATCGCTTTTTCGCTTCCCACTCCGTCGCTCGCCGGGAGACGAGCAAAATGCACAGTCAATTCCTCAATAAAAGGCCAATCGATGCACCGAGATTTATAAACGAGATATATGCAGAAACACATTGATTATGCCGCGCGTTGGCCGCGTCAAAGAGACGCGGATTTTAAAAACAAATTTTAAAACCGAATTCTCGACGCGCATGCAAAGTTTTACACTCGATTCGAATGCCTCTTCCGCGAAACGCAGAACGCTGTGTGTGTTCGTTTTCGAGTATTTCCGCGATACGTTCGATATAAAATTTTTGTGTCCACGAAAAATATTTTATTCAAAGTGCACATACGCACATATCTCCCGGGGCTGTAGTGCATCTTGAGGCGCTATTAAACGGAATTTCACGGCGAGATAAAGAAGAAAGGACGTGAGCTCGAGCAAATCGAGGACAAAGGACGCCGAAAGGGACCTTCGCGGAAAATCTCTTTCTTGCGGGAATCTTCGATAAAAATCGAGTTCAATCTCGATATATGGCGTAGCTATACGTCACGAACGAGGCCTGTCTCTCTCTGTTGCGCGTCCCCGATATGTAAAAGACAAGATTTCCAATATGTAGGATGTCAATAATGATTCCGCGCGCGCAAACAATATCACCGCGAAGCTGTCAGATGTGATGCGTGACAAGGTTTCTCGCTCGAGAACCGTAACCCAGAATCGCGCATCGTCGTTCCATTTCTACTTGTTGCTTATTCTCGCACACTCTCGCGCCCTAACAACTTTACGATTAATGATACCGTGTATTTCAGGATTGTTTGACGCGAGTTCGGATTGCGCTCGGGACAATTCCTCGGCCTATATATGTACACACATGTCGCTGTGTGCGCGTATCGTTAAATAATCTCGAGAACAAAAGCGAAAAAATCAGCAAAAAAAAAAAAAAAACAGAAATAATACAAGGACATGAGACTCTTGTTAAAAAGAATTCGAAACTTTGTCCGAGCGAATCTTTGTGACGATCCGCGATTTCCGTTTGTCGAGCGCGACTCCTTTTTAAGGGAAATACGAGAGAGTATCAGAAATTTCTGCCTTTCTTTCTTCCCAAAGGGCACATTGTCAGGCTTGATTCAATCGATCGTGAAACATTTTACTAAGCGAACCAACCAAGATTTCAAAGCCCCTTTTTCGATTTCTCATCTTTCCGTGACTTGTGAGACTTCGGACTTTTCTATATATTGTATTTTTGTCAATTTCCCTCGGGAGCGTGTGCCGGTCGTTCAGAAGTGTGACGCACACCACCCTCATTTATTAGCCACGACACGTTAATTTAGATAAGTAACGAAGAGAGGGTGGCTAAAGAGTTCGCGCAATTCGTTGGAACGGCACACGCGCGTCCGAGTGTAAAACGGAAACCGGTTAATGTACGTCCCGTTCGGATGTGTCCATCAGCTTCCCGTACAATGCTGTGCAATTCATCTTACGCAGGTATTACGCCATCGCTGAACCGTTGCATTACGAAGCGTTGGTTTCTCCGCGTCGCGTGGCTGTCGGATTGGTCGTTTCCTGGACGGTCTCTCTGCTCTTGTGTTTGCCGCCGTTCTCCGGTCTGGTGCCACCTTACAGGTCTGTATACATATATATACATATATACGTATTACACTGTTAAACAGGCACCACCACCGCCAACGCGCGACGTTGTCGTCTCTCGTGCTGTTACATTCCGCAACAGTATTCCACAATATATTGCGTCGCAATTGCTCCGCATTTCCTCGCATAATGAACGTGATTTGATTTATTTTGTGTTCCGTCGCTTCGTGCGCGAGTTACTTTGCGCTACATAAAGGAAACTTCCTAGCGGGACAATTTTCGCGACGCGCGCGCTCAGCACAAAAGATTTCTCGGAATAAAGGTTTCGTCAAAGCCGACAAAGTCAGTTAGATTAATAGAAACAGACTGCAGTAATGGAGAGAAGTGAAGTGTTTTAGCGTGAATTCTCTTTCTCTCTCTCTCCTTTTTTTTCTCTTTCTCTCTTTCGTTCTTCCTGTGTTCTATGTGCTTCGATTTCCGTGGCAAATATAATCGCGTGCGTTCTTTTTCAATTTCCTCTCTATTGATCAGGTATAACGCGGGGTTGGGCTGCTGCGCCCCAGATTTTGGAAACGATACTTGGGGCTACGCTGCGGCGCTCTACGGCATCGTTTACGTCATTCTGGGCTTGGGCCTGCCGACCGTCCTCGTGACACTCTGCAATTTACGCATGCTGGGTATCGCGCGGTACCATCGGCATCGTATCGCCAGCGCGATTTACGAAGTCACCCTGAGCGCCCAGGTGACCATCACCCATCAGCGAAATCCGTTTTTCGTGCCAATCGTCACCGCGCCTTCCGCCGGCGGACCGCCACGTTTTCACAATGCCGCATGCACGGTTCGTACAATTCAACCATTAGATGTAATATATCATTTTCCGCCGAGTTTAAAACTTCCGGAAGTCGTGTGTATAAAGATTTAGCGGAGAGACTCCGCGCAAACTTAGATAGATTTATATCGTAGTTTTTTTAAAACTTAAATAAATATCAACACATTGCGAGAGAAAAAACGCAAATCGAGAAAACTCTTGAGAAATAACAAAGTTATTGTTCCTTTAGGTACGTACTCTTTCGAGTCTTCTAATTAAAAATAAATATTTTTAAAAATTAAAATGCGATTTTCTCGAAATCACGTTTTTTTTCCAGCGGAAAAGCTTGACGGATTTAACTTTTGTTGTCGGATTTGAGTTAATCAGCCTAATTAAAAGCCCCGCAGTTAAAGTCGGTAATCTGTAATTTAATTTTCTACCCGGGAAGTTAGCAAGTCAAATCGATAGACACACCAACGCCGCCGGAGGCATCGGTAAAGTACGTGCTAAAACTTCCCGCCCTCAGAGCGTCTCGTAACTAATGGACCATCCGTTTAGCTTCTATTTCAGGAACCTGACCCAGGATCTTCCAAATGTAATTAGCTCTATGCACTTGGAAATATCGGCGAATATTCTGTTGCTCGCAAATAAATTTCAACAATGAGACCAAAACCTATACAGTGTACAAGCTCGTCTCTTATCAATCTCGCGTATAAACGTTTCAGGTGATGCAACTGGTCGGTCCACTCTACATGCTTTACTTCCCGTATTGCGGATTCGTTCTCTGGGAAGCTTGCAACGCTGCTTCTCATCAGCACCGCCTGAATACGAGACTTTTTTCCGTGGCGTCGTTTCTACTCGCTTGTTCGCCGCCCATCAACGGCTTCCTGTACGGTCTCAAATCACAGACCCTGCGACAATCCGTGCGTAACTACTGGCGTAAAAAAGCGACCAAGTCGGAACTGCAGCAGGTAATTCCACGACACGTGGAAAAATGACGTGCATCGCGAGGTGCAACCTCGTTCGAGTCTGTTGCGTCGCTCGACAGAGTACGAGCGTGCTCGTTCTTCACGGTTTACGATTATTGTACTCGCTTCTCGCGCGTCCTGTTAAGCTTTTGTCGCGTTCGCGTAACGTACGTCAGCGGTACGTATAACGGTGTGAGAAAAATCGTGCTTTCCAGGAGATACAGGCGAGAACACCGAGCGTCGCAGGTTCCAGGCGACCCTCGGCACCCTCCGGCAACGGAAATGCTTCCTTTTTCCCCTTCCCGCCCTTACAACGAAGGCTGAGCGACGCGCTGCTGGCCCTCGGCACCTGCAGATCCGGAGACAGTTTCGAGAGCGATAATCTCGGATTCCAGCGCGGCACTTTGCAGCCAGCCGCCTCGTGTAACACTCTTAGAGTGCCAACTAGCGAATCAGGTATGTAGTTATACGATCCTTCTCCGTTGTACGCCGATAATGTTTCTAACGAGTTATCCCCGTCGTGCTTTCCATTATTAAGTAGCATATCGTGTTCGCAAATAGCGTTTTAGATTTAAGAAATGACGCGGCGCGTAGTCTTGCATTTTGAAGCGCATGTCCTTAGACAAAGGTTTTTTCTCATAGCTAAGATGTAGATCTCGAACACAATTTTATAAAAAGATCATACTTGATCGTTGACGGATAAAGCATTCGACAATGACACGAGCGTCGTACCTTTCATGATGGCGCGATAAAGGAGAACCGAGCAAATTGGTGCGGGCGAGCGCGAGCGCCGCCACTCTGATGGGTCCTAATTATCGGAGCGACTTTATCGAGTCCGATTTGAAGGCGGGATGCGCCCTAGCCACGTGCGAGACCCCGAAGAAAAGCCCGAGGATTTTAATAACGCGCGCGTACAGCGAGGAGAACCAAGACGGAGGCAGCCCGCTTATGAAGAAATCCCAAAAATCAAATGTTAACCCTCAGCCGTGCGAAAGTACGTCTCAGAGACATTAACATTATACAGTAGTGTGTGTTTTATTCTTTCAATTAGCGTGCGACTGTATGCAACTTTCAGATAGAACCGCGTGTCAAAGATGATAAAAAACTTTATCTCGCTTTTTGTTGTGACATCTGCTGACATTTTGCGTTGCGTTGCAATCGCGTTGTCATTAGGTTTATCTCTCGTTGTAGGTTTTTCATTTACTGATTAATTATTTGGATTCAATTCTTTGGAGCTGCGTTTATCTCGTATTTTTTTCCTTTAGCCTTGCCGTTAGCATGATATTCCCTGTGTCTTTCTTTTTCATCGACTTTTTTGCAGTATCTCTTGTACATATCTCTTGTACGTATTCCTATCGTCTTCGTAAGCAAGAACCGATATTAAGAATCTTCCATGTAATATATCGTATACGTGTTATCGTAGGTTTTGCATAGAAATGTTGGGAATGAATAGATCGTTGACGCGAACGAAGATGGATCAATCTTAAATTCAAGAAAATTCAAGGGGGTTCTTGTTTCTCGCGCATGCACAGAACGACGATGGCGGAATTGTAGCATTGGGAGCGAGAGCAGCACCGGAAGCAGCGACACGAGCGTGTGGACCACCGGCGTTAAACACGTAAGGAGTAACGTGAAGAACTCGACGAGCGATTTGTCGTCGCGGCGAAACGCGCACGGTAAGAATTTGGAAGAAGAGGACGCGCTGTCGACCACACTCAGACCGAACAACAACAGCGAGAGCAGCGATACCACAGACACTACCACGGCCACGACTACAACCACCACCACTCTTCTTTAAATCCGCATTGAGTAAGTAGTTTTTTTTTTAGCGCGTTTGTTTTCGCTGTTTATAGAATTTGCAAATGATTGTTAGAAAAATGATACACGAAGATTGTAAAAAAAAACTATAATGAAAAATAAAAACAACGATCGATCTAAAATTTACTTAGACGAATTGCTTGAACGCAGGAAAACGGAAGAGAGAAGAAGGAGATAAACGACAAGATGAAGAATTCAGTAGAGCAATGTGGAGGAGGACTCGAGACTAAGAACGATATAACCGAGAAAAGAAAAAAAGAGACAGATCTCAGAGAAGTTGTAAGAGCTGCGCAGAAGTTTCCGCAATCCAAGTCGAAGGACAGAGAGCACAAGCTCGTAAATTTACCGGAGGCCGCGAGTAAGCTGAGCACAAATGTGAAGACTCTCTTAATACCTCTTTCTTCTTGAGTAAATCCAAACGTACTTTCCTTAGTTAATCCGTTTCATGTCTCGGACGAAATAAGTATCGCGTGCGCTTGAGCGAATACAAAGCAGGAGAGGAGAGCATTTCTCTTAATCATGACGCAAGTCCCGCGGAAACAAAAGGCCAGGATCGATTGCAACGCGATTATTTTGATAGCTCGCATCTACTAGCACAAAAGTATAATATTTATATAATAATGACAATTTATAATAATAACGCGTGGTTTTAAGTAGCACAAAGAATGATCTCATCGTTTTTTATATATCGATTGTGTTTCGCTTTAAGAAAAATGTCATTTAAAAAATTCTCTCAAATGAGAACCAAGTATTACCGCGTGTACAAAGTGTAAAATTGTCATCAGCGAAGCTGCAAATACGTGCACACAAAATCATTAACGAAGAAATGACGACAATGACGTCAGTGTCATTGTCGATCAGAGTCCATCGATGAATAAAAGTCAACAAAATTTTGAAAAACAAAACAATGTCCAAATTGAATCTGTCAATAAAAGCATCGACGTTACATAAAGAGACTGGATCGTTTTGTTATATATATACAAATAAAAAAAAATAAATAAATATATTTTACACGTTGAACTGATCGTGTTGCATTCTTGCAAACGAGAATTCGGCGCAGCCGCCTACGCTCGAGAGACATCAATATGTTAACATGTATATTGAAACATATTTTTCACATATCCTAAAATTATATTTTTGTATATAACACATAACCTTGAAATTACATATTTTTTCACTCTGCAACGTTTACAACTGCGTTCCGATATTTACAGCCAGCACTAAAAATCTATACCTTACGTCACATGTGCTGTAAATTTCCAGTACTGGCAGTGAATATCGGAACGCGGCCTATTATGCACGCAACAGTGACGTGGAACCATCTGTTACACACACATACACAAAATAAAAAGGAAAAACGAAAAAACTGATTAATACACCCTCGGCGAATCCGAGGATTTCAAAGAATTTTCGCTCGCTTGTCGTGACAGAGAGAGAGGAAGAGAAATTAATCGTAGATCGTGTTCCGATCATTCTTGATGAAAGTTCGCGTCGCGTCGCGTCGGCGTGACGAATTCGCGGGAACTCGTTATTCACGAGAAGTTCCGGTCCAATTTGTCTTTAATTTGCCGGAGTGAATAATGGGAACTCATAGTAGGTAGAGAAAAGAAAAGTCGAACACCCGAACAACTTTTTTTTGACAAAAAGCGATAACAACGTTGAATCAAAGATGTGAAGAGAATGTTTACAAACGTTTAAGTTTATCGATCGCGACGTTCATTCTTCTACTAAAAAAACAAAAAAGACAAAAAGAAAGTGAATCTCACACTGCGGTAAGAAGCGCGTCTGTACTTTTTGTAAATGTCAAGTTTTTGCTCGGTGTATTAACGATTGTATTTATTCGACGTGAATTCCGTGGCTCTCTCGCCGATTTAACGTCTACTCGATTAATGATTAGCGGCTACATTTATTAAAACAAGCGACAATTTCTAGTGCGAATAGCTGTTAGAGAACCGACACCGCTGCGACAAACTGTGTGTACAACAATCCGTGTAAATAGAGAATAATTCTGCTTTGTCTCTGTATATGTAATGTAATTGCGACAAGAAATTCTTTCTTGCGCAATTACACGTGTGTATCAATATGCCGAGTAATTAACCTGTGTTACGCTGATGAAGTGGCTGTGCCGACTTAAATACACGTGAGATTGTTAAGTATGCGAAGAAATTGGTATTCGCGCGCGTATTTTTTTATTACAATTTAGAAACTAGTCATTCCAATCACGTACACTTCGACTACACCGAATAAAAAAAAAAAAAAAACATTATTTAATTTATATCTCATCCCACCGATAATATACACATATTTGTGTATATTTCATCATTCTCTAACTAATTATTTATATTATACATATATATACAATAACATATTATATATGAAAAGACGATAATATATAAATGCGTTAATAGTGTAAAAAGTAATGATAGAAAGTTATTATAGAATTGAGAAATAATGATTGTAAGTAATATATAATATTGAGATAATTAATGTATAATGTATGAATAATTAGACTGAATGTGTTATTGGGTTATTGTCGGCACGCTGCTTGCTATGTCATGAAAGATATGGAGCGTCTGACGATATGCGACAACGTTTTTTTAAAAATGTCCATAGACGTAAATTTACGGAACTTCACGTTGTATCTCCGTTCGTAGGATACAGAGAGAAAAAGTAAAAACCGTTTCTCACACATGTACTGAAATTCCAGCTCTCGATTGAGACTAGAGTTTAATTAGTTCAGCCGTTGCCGAGATACAGTACAAGCTATCTTAGCTGAACTGGCTGAACTCGCGTGAGTCATGATCGATCTCGCTGCGCGTACACACTTTGTGCGAGGCATCGTATGCCTCTTGATTTATTACAGGTGATACAGAAAAAAAAAATAGATAGATACATATATATTGTATCGTTCGTAAAGTTCTCGTAGCGTTTTCTAATAAGTTGCCATTAAACAACACGTTCGCGATATGTACACGAGTCATCGCGCGAAAAACATCAAACAGCACCGTATACGAGAATTTACAATAGCGTTTTTGATCGGTACGAGTTGCTTCCGAAGCGATTAATCTTGATTTAAATGGCGATCATAGATATAAAAGAAATATAGACTGCGCGTGTAAGAGGAGAAGTGAATCAAAACGCAGAGCGAAACAAATGCTTTCACTCATGTCTCTGTCTCTCAGCGTCCGGAGTGGGTATCATTATGCAACCTCACGGGACGTCAATCGACTTCTGTCACTTTTGCCCCTTTATTGCTCGGCGTTTTTCTATCGTCCCACAACGCTATTTCTCATACCTACTATTTTTCTTGCCCACCAATCACCGCATCACTAAACAAGGTTAGAGACACGAGTGAAAGCATTTGTCCTTGTCTGCGTTTTGACCATTCCCTCTTTACAGAGAAAATAGAAAACACGCGGTCTATTTCTTATGTGTCTATGGTGGCGACGATGTGTGTCATTGTCGATGAAAAAGTTGTCCATTTGTTGGCGTCTCACTTGTTCTTTTTTTTTTCTATTTTTTATTTCCAGTCCTTTCTTATCTCCATCCCTTGAAATCGCGAGTCTTATATGTGATTCTCAGCTTTGGAAGCATATCACACGTCTGATACGTGATTCTCATTTTGGATTTCAAAAGCATATCACGTCTCTCACACGTTGTTATACTGCAAGTGATGAATGACGTTACTTTGGTCGAGTAATATGATCGGTCCGAGAGCGATTCGACCTGTACCGATCGAAAAACGGTATAATTTATGTGAGAGTCAACACGATAAACCTTTAAATCTCACTTAAAAAACGCTACGCTCTATTTTCCGAACAATTCAATATATCTGTAAAGAGCAATGAATACATTACGGTACGCACAGAAAACTTTTAACGCGTACGTCACCAACGTCCAATATAATTCGCTAAAATTCGCTTGTCCACGAACACAGCCCGAGCTGCCGGTCAAACCAACTCGTCAATTAGAATCTGCGCATGTGCAGCTTGGATATATATCGTCACTCCCTACGTATAATTACATAAGTGTCACATACGGGAATTTTCAGTTTATTGCATAGTGACACTTAGAAAGTCATGTTCTTTATGGTCACCAAATATTTAAAAAAAAATATTCCTAAGTAAGGTAAAAATTTAAAACCGAAAGATTCCTTACTAACTAGAGAAACTATATGAAGCTTTGAGCTTTTAAACTGCTCTCCTCTAAAATTTGCATTTTGGAGTTACGGGATTATACGTAGGGAGTGACGATATATCGCGAACGCAATTGCGTATCCGTTGTTGTTGTTGTTATTGTTATTGATCAATGATTGAGAGATTTGAGGAACTTCGTCGGGTGCGAATGTTGTATGTCGATGTTAACAAGTACAAAGAGTTTCAAACGATGTCTAAGTGTATAACGATAGTGCAAATAAAAACACCTGATAGCTGGATCAAATTCGTAATTGTTCACAAAAAATCCCGAATCTAAAAGAAAATATATATATATATATATATTGTGAAATCCTCTAAATCTGAGTATTGCCGGGATCGAGTTGAGTTCTATTAATCTGATAACATCCCTTCTATCTCCACTCTCTAGCAATACGCTACTTCACGCAAGGATTATGGAAATATAAGATAGTCGGGAGTGTCGGCAGACAAGAGGAGACGTCAAGATTCATGCGTTAATCTTGATCGATCACTAATTTTGACAAATGTTAAAATTTCGAGTTAAAATTATCCATCAAGGATATCCATTAAAATTGGCTGTTGATACAAAGTGCATGCAAATATACGCAACATTTTTTCTCTTTTAAAAAAACGCGCAAAGTCTTTTTACCGACTTTATCTTCTTCTTTACCGCGTACACAAATATTACAAATATTTAAATATGAAACTTGACAAATATATATGTACATATTACCCAATATATCTTTTACTAATACGAAATATTTCAAAAATGAAGTTCTGAAGACAACAGAATTAGCTGATGGCGCTTGTTATCTAACACTCCGATCTAAAGTACATAAGAAGGATAAACACGAATTTTACCTGTGGTTCTTACTTTCAAAACATGTTACCTGCAACGTTATTCGTCAGTTCGTTCTGTGTCGTTGTAACCCACCCGTTGTACCCGTATATAGGTAGTATATCATCACGGTCGAAAGTGGTCGTTTGTTGTGTTCATCCTTCGTTAATCACACCGGTTTCGAGTTGCCAGTCTTGCGTGCTTATCGGACTCGCCTCGACATATGAATTCGCGACTTCGAATCTTTTGCAGCAAAATATTATAATAGATATTTATATATATACGCGAAAAAAGTGCGGTCGATAAAAAATGTACAATTCCGTTGACCTTCCCAATAGATCGATTTATTTCACGCGCGACTATTATAGACATGATTACGAAGATGAGATATTGCAGCATTGGATAGACAAGGATTGCGTGAGAGATCACGGCAGGTATGTACTAAAGCCCTTTTCGAGATGTTATTTTTACAATTTTATCACTGTGACGAAAACAAATCACGCTTTGAAAGTCACGATTCTTCCAAACTTTGGACCAAGTTTTTGTCACGGACTAAGAAATAGAAAGACGGAGCATTAAAATCGAAGGAGTACGTCACGTCTGTGGCGGGAGAAGTAACCATATCGGCCATACTTGTCTCAAAACTCGTTTGTACATATGTATGCAGAAAATGTGTGTACAGTACCAACTTAAATATAGTCTATATAATGTCTACCACGGACTTACAAGTCCGTACTCTTTTAAGTAGAATTAATGCATTGCACTGAAAATCAGTAAATATTTGACTCATTGTCAGTGGAGGACTTAACTATTGAATCAGTAAATATTTACTGATTTTTAGTGCAATGCACTGATTCTACTTAAGATAGTAATTACTTCTAATTACTAATTACTTCCACACCAAATTTTACTTGAAATTAAATAAAGGAATAACTGAGATTTGATACTTTCATTTAATATTTGAAGGAATAACTAATTAAAAAAATTGATTTCATACCGTTATTTCTATTTGAAAAAGATAACATCGGTCTCTTAAAATAATAGCAATTCCAAATAATAAAAATTATTTTGCTATATTTTAATTTTTTTAATTTGAAAAGAACTCAGCTATATATTTATTCAAAATTAGTGAAATTTTAGGCATAATATAACGACGACCGGTTTCTCCCCGCATGTCTGAGCCAACTCTCGCCCAAGTTAGGACTTTATGCACCGTCTCTCTATACTTTAGTCCGTAGTTTTTGTATAATATATTTTACAGCTACGGCCCTGCCGTGGCATTGCGCACACTCGCATCGATTTTGACGAATGCTCAGCTGATGTACTTGCATGCGTCGTTTCGCGATTCTGCGTTCCTTTCGAAACGTGCGTGAAATCGTCACCGGTGGATACATCTTCCGATAATTTATCGACTCGTGCACGTATATCTCTCTTTCACGATAGTTCTTTATCTTTCGATCAATTGTCTCGCTTTTTTTGTACTCGTTTGTACGTCTGACGAGCAAGAACGAAGGGGTTCTCATGCGCTCTCGTGACGAGCACTCACAGCTGTCGAACACCGTGTTTCCGATCGAAATTACGTTTCACCTGCCCGAAATGTAAACAGAGAGTCGTCGATATGACGTGGAATTTCTCGACGTGAGCCCCGTTCGAGGGATAGAGCAGCGGTTGTAGATGGTGACGAGTAAACGGCATGTCTTCCACGTGAGTGATACGAAAATATATCGGAATTGATCGAGCAAAAGACGCTAAGCGCGAAGTGGATATACATTGCGGAGCAATAAATGCAATATCTGCGCGAGAGGAAACTTCTTTTTATTGCTCTACGGTGTACGTTCAAAAAATCTCCTCATTTAGAGGCCGGGGATTACACTCGCAACAAAAACTTAAAACAACAAATGTTATTTTACGTCAGTTGTTGCATGATACCCAGCAAACACACAAAGTAACAGTTACGTAACATTAATAATTTCCCACTCAACAATGTAACTGCTACGTACTGCATGTTGCATTGCAGTTACATCGTTGAGTGGGAAATTATAACATTAATGTTACGTTACTGTTACTTTGTGTTTGCTGGGATATTGAAAAAAAAAATGCGACTGGTCACACACCAGTCATTCGTTGACAATTAAAATACAACAACGTCCGTTATAACGTCTGTTATTTGAACGCAAGTGTAATTTCCTTTATTGTGTCGGTGTGATAAACGGAGCTTTTCGCAGAGAGGAACCATGAGAGTGTCCTCGGCCTCGTCCAGCACGAGTTCCGTGTACACCAGTGCCGACGATGCGCGCCAATTCATTAGTCACGAGGCTGGTCAGTTTCCCGATACGGATGACGTCGGAACTACTTGGCTCCTCGGTTCGCGCGGCAGGTCGAAACGAGTTTTCGAGAGGTTTAAAATAACCAAGTGAGTGTGGGACACGCACACACGCACATGCCGTCGAACACGACACTCGTTATAAAATATATCACTAAGTATTATCTCACTCTCGCGAGTATTAATTATCTCTTGAGAAAATCGTAGATAAACAAACAACAAAAAAGTACATACGCAAGCAACAAAAACAAGTACATTGCCAAAGACAAAGTCTACTTTATTCAAGCACGTCATCGTTCAATCTCAGTTTGTTTTTTTTTTTTTTGTTATCAAGCAAAATTATCTACCTCTTACTTATTATTGTCAACTGTCACAGGATTAAAATATTCCGCTGTTAAAAAATAAAAAAAAGAGCAAATCGAGAACTCAGATCTAAAATTCAAAAGTCGCGTTCAACAGAAGCGAGCGATTAGTAAGCGCGTTGTTCGATTTGAATTGTTTATCATTAACGTAGATAATTTCGTATTTATTTATTTTAATAAATGTAGTTTAAAGGTCAATGATAAACAATAAAACGATCACGGAAAAAAAGGGTTGCTATTATATGGTAAGCAGGAAAAATTTGTTGAGTCTGCTGCATTTTTTGTTTTATCAACAAAACAAAAATCTGGTCACATAATGACTAATTCCTTGCTATTCTAGCAAATGTTTTTTTCCGTACATTCTGATTAAAACGGCCAAAAAGTCAACGCAGATGTCAGCGCGAAATTTGACAAATAAGATAATTAATCTTAATTCCATAATTTTATTGACACGTACGATCAAGTATTTGAATTCAAGTAGATATTTCGGATGTTATTACTGACATTTTAGGAAGCGATTATTACGCATTGGAGAGAGACATTGCGTCATTGCAGATTTTTGCAGCAGAAACGTTGATAAATAATAAAGTTGTGAATTGCAGCACATTATGTATCAATTTGTCTTCTCGTGTGTGAGGAAACTGCTCTATCGGTAGAACAGTCACTTAGAATACAACCATCTCAATTGTTGAGCTTATAATATAATCTAGGTTGTTCATTTCAATTTCGAGTTTAACGTTCTCAGTTGATACGTTGTATGTAACACTAAGAGAAAAGATTTTTAATGTATTGTTGCGAGATGCGCGACTCTTGTTTGTCAAATAAAAAAAAACTCATGATAAGTGTGAGAGAATTAGAACATAAAAATCTTTAAGCAATAAGACTCGAAAAAAGGGATCAATTACAGTTCAGCATTTTTAACCTATCAACAATCAAGATTGTGATTATATTACTTTCGCTTACCGTTTAAAAACTCTTTTGATGTCTTCGATCTGAACGGTTGGATGTAATATTGAAGAATATAGTCCTTTGCAACGAATGTCTGACAACTGACTAACAGTCGGTAGTTGATTATTGAGAGTTGAAGGCGCTAACTTATTGCATCAGACTCCCATTCCGTCGTACGTTCACTCCGACATGTTACGGATGCGTATGTTTTCGACGCTCGCGCGCAATATATATCTATTTATACGAGTGGATTGATAAATATCTCAAGCAACGCATAGATAGCGACAGTAATAACATTAATGTTAATCACGTAAACTTTGGACGTTAAATGTCCGAGCAATTTTTGAAGATGAGATATCTTAACAACTACTTGGTGGAAATTTCTACTTCTACTTAATGAAAATTCTCCCTTTTCCTAAAAAAAGTTATAGTAGAGGAGAATCGACGGTAAAAGAGAACACAATGCCAGCGACATTGTGTTGCCGAATATCAAGCGATAAAAGTCATGCTTGGACACGAACGTCTTACGTTCACAGGAAACGATTGGATTTCCAGAGCAAGTTACAACATTGTCTTCCTTTTTATTTTTTTTTTTCCACTTCTTTTTTGTTTTACAACGTAAAAAATTCCTTAATTTTTCCTAAGTTTTTCTTTCCCCTAAGTAAAAATGTCATAGTACGCACTTCGAAAAAGGTCTGAACTTTTTTTTGATCGCGAGAAAGAAATGTTTACTTTAGCGAAGATCTCAGCGAGAAATTAAAAATTTATTTTTGTACATAATTTTGACAAGAAAAACTTTTTGAAATAAAAAAATAACGATTTTACATGTATATAATCGTTATTTATTTGACATGTGTTAGAATCAATTCTTTAAAACGTCTTTGACCGTATACATTTTTCGGTACATTAAAAAAAAAATAAATAAACCTTAAAAAAACTATCAAAACAAATGTCATTTCTTTAATTTATAATCGTGAATAAAACTCTATAAATTTTAACGGATTTTTTACGTAAATAATAAAAATTCGCGTCGGACATAAATGTCAAGGTTTACAAGATTACCTATAAAAAAAAAAAAAAAAAAACAACGTTTACAAAATTAGAGTTAATGATATTATCCTGACACGTTCTTGAAGTTTTATCCTTCAAAACAACAAATGTCAAACACCGAATCATTATTGCAATGTTTGAGCAACAGCACTATTATTGTCGACTATCTATGCGTCGTTTCAGATACTTATCAATCACATAACATCTACATAAATTCGGGGTGCTGTATGAATTCTATCATGGTCACTACTTTGTAGCGATCGCATTAATTTCATTACACGAATCGATAATGTTTTTCTTTTTCGGCTGACAACAAGATTTTATATTTTACAGTTTGTCGCACGAAGAGGTTAAAAGAATAACTAACAGAGCGTACCGAGCGGGGATGGTGATAATTGGTACGATAATGACGATACTACTTTTGTTCACGATAATCGTATCTGTTCTGTCTTACCACCGGAACACAGCGATGCATACGCAGAAAAATAAAAATCTGATACCTCCTGATCCGGTGGAGACGCAGCCGCCGTCGTGGAGCGAATTGAGAACTTTCAAACGTGGCGCCGTTTGCGCAGATGGTGTGCCATGCGCCGTTATTGGCAAGTACGTGGGTAAATCGCGCGAAGTCTCGAATGAGATTTGAAAAACGAGATTGTAAATCGCGTTGGGAAAGTTACTTATGGACTTATTGAAATCGATGGTTTTTTTTAAAAAAAAACTGGAATTTTTTAGGTCAATTTTAGAACGGAACGGATCAGCGGTGGACGCCGCATTGGCGGCGCTGATTTGCAACGGTCTTGTCAACATGCAAAGTTTGGGATTAGGGGGTGGATTTATGATGACAATCTACGAAAGATCCACGCGCCGGGCACTCGTTCTCAACGCGAGAGATCGAGCACCATTGGCGGCGAACGCCACCATGTTTCACGGAAAACCCGCGAATGTGTCTTCGCTTGGTAAATTTCGATTAAACTTGATAAAATAATATGATATTATTTAACGTAACATAGACTCACCAATTCGGGAGAGATGACATCAACAATTTTAACAACCTGTTTTATCCGCGATCGACTCCATTATTGACCCATCCACTTGTTTGCACGTATAACACAATCAACAGGTTACACTCACTGTTAATTACACTCACGCCCGATAATTAATCAAAACTACATCTTTATCACGGCACTCCCGATAATCCGACATCGTTTAAGATGTGAGTGACGCGAAAATTATACACGCACGAAAGACACTGTACAACGTACGGTTACGCGCGCCATATAACAACCACGACCTGCGACAATCTGAACGGTCTTGCGACAACTTCGCGCGCTTGTGGGTAAATTCACGCCTTTCTAAGTCAACTCCGGTGAGGCGAAAGTTGACGAGTCGATACTCACGTGTTAGGCTGTTAATCGCGATCGCGAATGCCGATCAACAACAGTTCGCGACAGATCACTCCATATTGTATTTAAACACTCCCGGAACTTGTTTGCAATTACAAATCTCGTCTCGGAAAATAAAATTGCACGAAAGACCGAGAGCGGGACGGCCGTCTGGTCTCGAGGTGTCGCGCGAACGAAGGGGGAGGAGACTAATCACGGGTAAGTTCCACTTGCCGTTTGCAACGCTCGTGGAATCATTGGGTGCGTTTCTAGAACACTCAACGGTTGAGAGATAATCACTTCTGAGTGGATCATACTTTTGGAACCGCAGCAGATTTTGAAGAATAGTCCTATCATAAGTGATGATCTCTCAACCGTTGAGTTGTCTGAACGCACCCATTTCATCCTTGTTTTCATCAAAAATTAAGCAAAGATTGGTAACGTTGCGAACGACAAGTGGAACTTATTCAACGTGGGGCAAGCAAATGACGTAGACGCGCTTATATTTGAAAAAACAAATACAAGTTTGAAACAAAACGTTTAAAGTAGCTTTTCTAACAAAACAGAAAAAAATGGTAACATTATTATTATCTTTATAAATATATAGAATAAATTCCTACATACTTTTATAGGCGCATTGTCGGTCGCCGTTCCCGGCGAACTGGCCGGTTATTGGGAAGCCCATCAAAAATTCGGCGTCTTACCATGGGCGGAGTTGTTCAATCCGAGTATCGAGCTCTGCGAAAAGGGCTACGAGTTGACATTAGTACAATACGATGGCCTTATGTACAATAAGAAAAGCATTTATAACGACCCAACTCTAAGGTAAATACGTGCAGTTGAAGTAAAGTAGTTTAACATATTGTACAATCATAACTTATAAAATATTTATCTAAAAAAAAGATACAGCACATTGCTCCATAAAAAATACTTGTTACTTCACTTTTTTTTCAGGGAATTATTTGTCGATCCTGCGACCAACGAATTCAGGAAGCCGGGATCCATAATCAAACCTCTCGTGCTTTGCAAAACCATGCGAATTATCGCTGAGAACGCGACGGAATTTTACAACGGCACGATTGGACAGCTTCTCGTGGACGATCTGAAGGAACTCGGAGGCATCATAACGATGCAGGACCTCAACGAATACAAGTAATCGGAAGATTGTATTTGCCGCAGAGCGCTACAAATAATAATATTGTTCTTTTGTTTTGTTTTTTTTCCATTGTTCCACTTTTCTTTTTTATTCAGAGTTTCGTGGAACGAACCGATTCAGGCGAACCTCTCGGACGGCACGCAACTGTTCACCACGGGTCTACCCAGCAGCGGTGCTCTTCTCACGTTTATCCTCAACGTCTTCGACGAATACGGCTTCACGCCGGACAGTGTGGCCGATTTTAACGCGACGATTCTTACGTATCACAGAATGATAGAGACGTTCAAACACGCGTACGCATTTAGGGCGAATCTGGGCGACCCAGATTTTGTTAATATGACTGAAGTAAATATACAATACGTAGAGTACATATTACGTGTATTGAAAAATTGATAGAAAAACTAAATTTCTGTCGCTCTCGAGTCTTCATCAATCTGCTCGATCTAATAACGACGTTGTATCTTTGATTTTTTAAAGATACTTAAAAATCTGACTTCGAAAAGCTTCGCACGCGAAATACGAAAGAAGATAAGCGACGAGCACACGTGGAAGGACGCGCGACACTACGGCTCTTCCATCTACGCCGGTGCCGAGGATCACGGTACTGCTCACATATCGATACTGGCTCCGAATGGCGACGCCGTGTCAGTGACCAGCACCATTAATTTTTAGTAAGTTATCAGATAATTGTTTTATCTTACGCAAAGAATCTTTCTAAAAATTATTAGCCGGTGTGTCGCAAAGACTGTCGCTCGACTACTTTTCGTTTATCTCGCAGCTACGGGAGCGGAATAGTCAGCAGAAGAACCGGTATTTTGCTGAACAACGCTATGGACGATTTCAGTATTCCGTCGAAAATCAATTATTTCGGTATAAGACCCAGTGTCAACAATTACATCGCGCCTAAGAAGCAACCGCTGTCCTCGATGGTGCCGTCCGTTTTCGTCGATCGTCACGGCGACGTCAAGATGGTTGTTGGTGCCGCTGGTGGCACAAAAATTACAACCGCAGTGTCTCAAGTTCGTAAGAGTTTACATTGAAACAGTTGAAAAAAATTTCATTGACGTTGTTTTGTCAACAAAACTTATTTTTTTCAGGCGACTGCAAAGATCCTTTGGATGGACCAAACCGTGAAGGAGGCGGTGGACGCGCCGAGAATACATCATCAATTGTTTCCGTCGGAAGTGACTTACGAGTATGGCGTTCCAAAACAAGTGATCGACGGCCTGAAACGTCTGGGACACGCCACCCTACGTTACCGAGATCGCGGTAGCATACTTTGCGTGATACTTTACAACAATTTCACGATTTTCGCGAACGCTGATTATCGCAAAGGCGGCGATGTCTCCGGAATCGATTGAATTGACAATTTGAAGTGTTTACTAGTTTAGTCAAAACTAGTCATTCTCTTTAAAGACTGAAACTTTTTCTAAACTTCCATACTATAATGCAAATTATAATTTTTTTGCGATTATTATGATATTGTATCAGTACGACCACAAATTTTGTTATTGCGTTCAGCAATAGTTAATTCACGGTATTTATAGTATCATTCATGTGGTTATTGCGGATCGCATTTCTTTGATCCGTATCTTCTCAAATTTATCTTCCTATGAATTTTTATGTAAGAGACATGTAAATAAACAAGCGAACATTTATAGTACGTTTATACAATAACGTCAACGAATTTTACTTAGTGATATTTTACTCGAATGCTACGTTGATTCGCACGATCAATATTCTTAGCATGAAGCGTGTCCCGCACACGTGACGCTTATTGAACACTTCAACCTCGTAGCGCATTTTTAAAATAAATGTAAAATCTCGAGGTCGTTATAAATGGTGTAATTGATTTACTTCCTACTTTAAATTGCGCTATGTTACACATCAAATGTCTTCGCTTTGGTTCTTACACGATTCCGAACTTATAGTTTACAGTTGGCACAAAATGTTTCAAATTACTTTCTTCGATAATTTTATCGTATAATAAAACAATTGTATTTTTTATTATAGGATAACATTTATGTAATGTACTTTTATATAATAAATAATTATTTAAACGTTAAAATGTTTTAATGTGACGTACGATTATTAGAGTTATGAGAAAGCTCTCATTTCTTTCTGCGTTCTTCCATCACCGCACAGTTCTCCTTCTTCAGCGTCGGTTTTTGCATCGGAGCGACGTTTTGAGGTGTCGTCCTGAACAAATATATAAAGCGTTTGTAGTAACTATTCTCTTCCGGTGCTTTTGCTCAGCGAGGAAACCTGTTTTCGAAGCGGTCCATGAAGATTATCGACTCCGCTCTCGACTAGATCTTCAATTTGAGAATAGATCGGAGCCAATTAGATGTGAACGTTCTATCAGGATCAGATCGATTAACGGTATACATTTCGCATCCGCGTCAGATGTCCTTTCGAATCATCTTTCGAAGTTGTTTGATCGTAGTTTCTGTAAGAGAGAAGAAAGAGAGAGAAGATATCGCGACCGGACTTTGTCTGACACTTGGTTCGCGCAAAGATAAAACATTTCTCTGGTTATAATTAAACGTTGTCTCCTCTTATCTTGCGCATGTATTTCGCGTATTTTATCAATGTACACTTGAATCTGAAAAATCAAACTGCCCCGCGTTCGATTATCTCGAACACAAATAATGTAAAATTTAGACGCTTTTGTCTGTGAATAACAATCGAAGCATAACAATGAGTCATTACGTAAGACCTTGTGTGATAAAAAATTTTTACACTTGTTTATCAAAATATTGTTTCGCGTTATCATCAGTACCGACAAGGTATCAGCTTGAACAAACATCATACGTGCGTTTGTTCGCTTATTATTTTGCTACATGGTACTTTTGCGAATTATATTGTACAAAGGTTTCATGTTATATATTAGTTCTATAAATAGCAATATTGTAGTACGCGATATCAAGAAAATATTTACTCCTGTTTTCTTGTTTGTTATATCTCGACTCAATGTTCTATTATTAACTCAGCGATAAAAACCTGGCATTTTTTTCGTCAAGATAGAAATTGCATGACGAAAGAAGAGCAAAAAGTTACCGGGCTTGCCGTTGCTATCACGCGATTCGCCGAGAAACATGACGCGGGACCCTCTTTAATCTGGAAATTTTGTTTCGATGTTTTACAGCTAGACGTCGTTTACGCTCCGATAGTTTTGCGCGTCGAGATCAGCATATCCCACGACGTAAAAACAAGCAACTCGCTGATAGCAAACTTTCCCCTCGCGGCACCTCAGCGCGCGCTGATATCTATATTTCGCTCCTGCGCACGACACCGATGCGAATGCGACAACAAAGTATTTCATCAAGACAGATCGTGTTTGTACACTCGAGTCGGAACGTGTGTGTTACACATTTTCGAATAAATTGAATTATTTTACTCACTGGCAACACAGCGTTGACTTTCATTAAACTTCTGCCTTTATATAAAGAAACAAATATATGTATATATTTGTTTTACCTTAATTAAAGTTTCATCCTCTGCTTCCGTCGAGACGTTTTACGTCGCTTCACAAAGTATTTTTTACAAGGCGAATTGTAAATCGTTGTACGCTTCTTTATGGATCGACATTGACATCTGCTGTCATCAACGATACGAATGTTGAACCTGAAAAAAATACGCGCAGTCACTTCAAATTTGATGGTTTTTGTTCGCTTGTAAATTTATTCCAATAATCGTGATACCTATATTGCAATTCCGTCTTATTCAATAATATTTTTTTTTAATTTTGACCCAAAATGCGAGTTTTTTAATGAACGGTTCGTACATAAGTACGGAGCTCAGATCGAATTTATTTCACCGTGATACTATTATTACCGGCGCTACGTACATACGTATCTTGTATGTAGAAAAAGAAAATGCACCTAAACATAGTCTGCGGACTTATGTACGACGCAAAATGTCTGGAAATTTCTGGGTCGCGTGCATTCACTCGACGTATAGATTGGCCACGTGAGTGATGGCCATTGGATGCGACCTGCGTATGAAGATATTCTTGGTCGTATCGGACCGTTCACCGTGCGTGCAAAATTATGCGTGCGTCGGAAAACCGTCAGTTTCAAATCAGTGTCTAATTACGCCTCGAAAATAAGCGCTTCGAATTGGACACTAATTAAGTAAACAACCGCAGTTTTTTTTTCTTTCACAAAAAACAGCTGAGTACACAGTTTACAGATATTGATGTCTCATCAAAAAGACGATATTCTCACCTGTTGCTACGCGCATTTCGTTTAATTACATTCAAATTTTGTCTCAAGCGCACACACTAATGAAATGAGAAAAAAGAAATTGCGAACTTTTTTGTAAAATTATGCAACAAATTGGTCAACATAAGACGAGCAAGTTGCACAACTTTGCGAAGAAGAAATCGTTGCCGATATACGTTATCGTCGCAAGCGGCATTGATAACTCGGTATGCAGATATGTCGCTGCGTCTGTTGCGCAATTGTGCAAAGTTACGCAATGGGTCGGACTTTTCACATTAAATTAGACGTTTAAATTCAATCGGAGTCAAAACTTCTACGAGAAACGTGTTGGTAAACACGTATTCTCGTAAACACGCGGCGTCAACGAGGGGAAGATCGACCTCGCAGCCGGCACTGGGCGTCACAACAGCGACGGGTGCGCGGCCATCGAGACTCCGGAGACGCATATAAAACCCGAAGCGGTCGGACGCGGCTTCAGTATTGAGCCAAACTGCTGGTGAGAGAGTTGTTCTCGAACGAACGTTCCCTGCGCACTTTATTGTTTCGCCCAGCGACTGCATCTTTTTTTTGCGAGCGAGAAACCGATTTCCGGTGAGCAATGTCTGAGGCGCACTTTGACGAGTACGAGCACTTCAACTACGACTACGACAAGCACATCTTCACCGCGCACGGCGGTAAGCAGAGAAGCAAGCGGGAAGCGGTCGCCCATACCAATCACTTCGACCCGAGCGGCCATTCTAGAAAGATTCTCACCAAGCTGATGAACACCGAGCATAACAAACGGCAACCCAGCAAGAGCAAGGCGTAATCCGTTGAGGTGAGACTGAGATATGCACGCACGTCTTACTGCGCGATATAAACGTCTTCGGGCCGTTTTTTTTGTCTCTTGAGAACGTATTTTTTTTTGTTCCTCGGCGAAATGACGTCATTCCTTCGAATCCGTTCCGCGAGCAAGAACATCTTTAATTTATTCCCGAACATTTTTGTATAAATTATGAGAATTCGAAATTTTGCTTCTAGTCAATTACGTTTAATCTTTGTCTTCCTCTCTGGACAATTTCTGATTCAACCGGACTTCGTTACCTGCTATCCATCTTGCTTTTCAATGTAAATTATCGGCCGCGAAAGGCGCACGTATACACACTCACATCGGAGTATTGCGTCTCATTTTTCGTTATCGGCACCGGCTATCTCTCGCTCGATGATTCACACAATCGTATATAATTTATTTTTATTTTTGCATATTTTTTTTCTATCTGCAACACTCGAGTTACGTAATGTATAATATTAGTATAATTTATGTCGCTCATAACATGTAATATGATTATTTCGGGAAACTTCGAGGGAACGCGTACCTTTCGTTTTCCTCGCACTTGCTTTGTTTCAACACATTCCAATTGTTTCGTTTTCAGATTGCACGCTCCTATCTTCGCGGCGGGCGCTGTCAAGTTGGATCTCATCTCACAAGACTTTACCTTCCGCTTCTAGGACGACCTGAATAACAAAAAAATAAAAAATAAAAAAAAAAAAAAATTATATGTATGCCACTTGATTGTCGAAGATGCATTTAGTCGTAGGTTCTCATTTAACGCGGCACGATAATTTTATAATCGTGCCTAATCATTATTTTCATTTACGATAAAATATGCACGAATCACGTTATTCATTTATACCCAGCAAACAATTTGGCTGTCAGATGTCGCGATTTTGTCGCCAACCCCCACACCAAATCCACATCCATCTGTGTCCTCAGTAGGATATGGTTTTGGTGAGTTTTGGTGACCACGTTGGGTTTTTTTGTGTCTGTGTGTCAACAGCTTTGGCAGCACACAAAGCATGTTTTTCCGTATTGTAGCATTTTCTGCACACAGTTTCTGTTGCCAGGTCTGCGCAGTCAGAAATTGTTTGCTGGGTAAGAGTACAAAGTGACGTACATTCATACATATACTTCGACCATTGCTTACTTCGTGTGAATCTGAAGTTTGCGTGACGTTTTTTTTTTTGTTTATTAAGAATGATATATATCGATACGATTACTTTGATTCTTGCGTGATAATTATTTTGATTTTTTGCGTGAGGTATTCTTTAGTTTACCTGACTTAAGCTATGATTTTTATTAAGGTTTTTTTTCTACTTGGCGTACGATTATTATAGAACTTTGTAGTCTATACGTAAAATCGTTATATGCGGAACTTCTTTTCGCGCGTGTGTTTTTGCGCACATATGTACGTTGTATACGAGCGATTGTTACTGAAATAAAGAATAATCGAACATACTCACCACGCTACGATTCTGCGCAAAAAAACTTCGGCCACTTGGACGTCTTTTCGGGCCTAATTTTGCGATTTGTTTGCGAAGACGGGCTGTTGACTTTTCTCCGTCTAAACAATTTGAAGGTCCAGATGCGATTTTTGATTTTCTTCCTTTAGCGAGTAAAACTTCTTGTGCGAGGCAGTAGCAGTTAGTTTTGATACTTTATTTCCTGGCTATCTGTTACGTCTCGCTCTTGGAATGTCTTACAATCTTTAACTTGGAAAGAAAATTTGAAAAAGAATTGAACGATTGAGTGAACGTTAAGGGCAAATCTTGGCTGTCGTTTATTCGCGTAAAGAATAACAATTGTCTCGCGATACATCATCATAATGTGAAAAATACACGTGTGAAGAGAAAACTGTTGATCCGATTCAATTCAGCTTGAGATTTAGATACTATTCAATCAAGAACACATATACGTCTCTTACCTTTGTAATAACGTCATGAAGTATCAACAGAATTGCAAGATACACTTCTCAAGCTTTTTAAATATGAAAGAGGATAACAAATACAATATTATTATATAAACATTTCCGAATCATTATATGATGATGTTGAAAACACGCAGAACTGTGAAATAAAGATTTCTAGTTAACGAAAGAAAAAAAAAATGTGCTTTTGTTTATTATCTGTATTTCACAAGATGTAGACAAATATACTGAAGATTGTTTATGCACAAGTAACGTTTCAATCGATAAATCCCCAAACTTCTCTTGCAGATGTTTTTTGTTTATTGTAAAATGATTTAAGGAAATAATTTATTTTTGTGTGTGACATTTTTAAGGTAACTCATTTGACGCAACGGTTGTTCGATCATTCAACAATCAGAAAAAAAGATGCAACAATGTAGATGAATGATCGCGAAAATTTTTTAGTTATTTTTATTAAAAAAAAAAAAAGAAAAGAATTTATTCAAATTGATAAATATCTGCCATCAATAGTAAGTCAATGAAATATTGCAAAAGTTATTATACTTTTGTGTAACGGGTTATTTTCATTCATTTCACATCCGTTATGCTTCATCATTTATGACGACCAAGTTGTTTTTATTATATTACGCGTTTTTAATTTTTTATTAAAGCATACACAAATAAAAATAATAAAAAATACATAACATCGAGAGATAGAACATTATTACAATATTTGACATTATTTTACTCTCGTGTACGTATTTTACATATAATGATATCGATTAAAACACCTTTGCATGCAAATTATAAAAGTTATGGCAACACACCGGGAGAGTAAAATAGGAAATATAGCCTTAAAACTATGTTAAAACTATATTAAAAATGTACAGAATTAAATCCTATATTGGCAATTTTATATATATTAAATCAAGCAATGATAATTGTGTTTTTCGAATTTTCTTATATCTGTACATAATAAAGTATTTCAATATTTTATTATAAATGTAAGAAAATTCGGAAAGAACTGGTCGTATTTAAAGGAGCAAACGCAAGTCGCAGGTCTCGTGGAATTGATTGATCGTATTGGTCAAATCAGAGAGCAAATCGATTGTCAATTTTGCGAAACTTGCAACTTATGCTTTGCATAAATGCTTGCTATTAATGTAAAACGACAGTAATATATATAGAATGTCATTTTCAGATAATATTGTAATATAAACAATATTTTGTTTAAAAATATTTTGTTTAAACTTCGAAATATTTTGACTGCTTTCATCCTTTTCGCGTGCAACGTGGATAAAACTTGCAATATCACAAATTAATATCATTAAAATTACACTTAATCGAGATGTAGTTAATGAATTAAACAACTTTTGTTATGTTAAAAGATTTAGTAAGTGTAAAAAAGATTTAAACTTACATTGCAACAAATTGTTATTTAATACACTTATAATAAATATTGCTATAATATCAAATACGTTAATATAAATCTAGTCTTTGTACTTTGCTAATACGGACAAAAAAAATGGCCAAAAATACAAGTGATTTCTCAAAATATTAACGCTGTTAATAATAAATTACCATTTACCTGAAGGAGAATTACTGAGAAGCATTCTCATTGAAAGATCTCAGAGTAACTTATACTTATCAAAATCCACTTCCTGCCTTAAAATACCGGTCAGAATAAATTCAGTGGATTGTACAGTTATAGTTTTCGGTGCTTTCGCGATAAATTTTCTCGCATTTGTCAAGTCTTCTTCGCGCGAAATCACCACCGCTTTTTCAGGCCATTTAGTCGGCGGACGCGACAGAACTTTTCCACCGCAGGACGCCACCATATCTGAAAACAGAATACATCTTTCATCAGACAAGAATTTTATACGAAGACACAAAGAAAAGTGCTTCAACTTGCTTTTCAATTCTTCTATAGGAGGTGGCGCGACGTTCGGTGTTACCACGACAGTGTAGCCGTCGAGTAACTTCTTCTCTTTGGCTTTATCGAGACTCTTCCTCAATCTGAAGCTGAACTTGGCTTCGGCGGCGGGATCCTTCAATATGTAATTCTCCCAATCTAAAAATCGCGCAGCCGGTTCGCTATCTCTCAACCAATCGATCGCCACTATCGGTATGCCCATCGCCAGCGCGCACAAGAACTTGTACGTCCTGCGAACTTTGTCGGTGACCAAAACGGTGCACTTCGCCGGTTCTTCCACTTTAGTTCCACCTAAAAAACAAAATTATCAATAAATAAACTATTATCAATAAATAAATTGCGAATTTGTTGAAATCTATCCGAGTTTGTATTGCATACTCACCCAATGTTTTAACGAGCTTGCTGTAATCTTCCGCTATGCCCGTGAATAAAATTCTGTGCTTTGCTGAGATTGGCGAGGAATTACTGAGAACGGACGCACTTCTTCGCATTCTAGACGGCGTTGAAGGAACAGACGGAACTTCCACGCTTGCGTTCATTCTTGAAGACGTACGTACGTTAGCCGCCTTGGGCGTATTTTGTTTTACCTCGACTTTTCTCTTAGCGCCCACTGCCCTTGATCTCGAAAGTCTAGAACTCGACGAAGAGTCACTTTCGGAACCGTCCTGGTAGTCTCCGACGATCGAGCTTTCCGAGGACGAATCAAGAACCAAATTTGTGGACTTTTTATTGACACGAGTAGGCCTCTTGAATGTTTCGTCTTTCACCGGAATTTGTACTGTCGACTGCGAAGAGACCGAACTTCTAGTCATTCTTCCGCGTTTTGCTTTTGGCGCAGAGGTATCGAATTGTACTTTGTCAGAGTCGATATCGGATGACACGCCGCTACTCTCGGAAATTGAAGTTACTTCGCTGTCTGTGTTAGACCGTTTACTGTTTCTGGTTCTTAAAGCTTTTGAAAATATTTTCGCGTTACTTTGTTCTCTAATCAACAAATGCTCGTCTTGCACGTTACCCTGATCTCTATTCATGATTACTTCCACTTCTTGCGATTCGCGTCCTAAGAGGGTAGGTCTTATGGGGGTAAGCTTAATTTTAAGAATTTTATCCTGCTGTTTAGCCATCGCTTCCTCTTCTTTCGCCTGGACTTGCTTGCTCGTGTTATTTTCTTCATTCTCAGTTACATCATGTATCGCGACACGACTGCCTTTAGCATTACGTTTGCTCTGTTTAACGTTAGCTTTTTTGGAATCGACATTTTCATTTATTTCTGAACTCGAAGAGACATTTTGATTGTTTCTCGATGAAGCTTTACGCGTCTTATTGGGTTTAGAAGGATTTGTATTCTCGATCGCTGAAAGATTTTCAAGTTTGGCATTAGTTTTAATAACAATACTTGGAAATTTGCTTCTGGTTTGTCTAACGTTAGATTTTCCGGAATCGACGCTTTCGTTCAATTTTGAATTCGAAACAGGCTTTTCGCTATTTTCCAACACTTTAGACGCTCCTTTAATGGTTCTGGAAGATTTATTACTCGCGATTACCGAGGTACGTTCGTGCGAGTTGGTCTTAGTGACAATATTTGAAGATTGTTCGTCGACGATTGTTTTACTCGTTCGACGCGTAAGAACCGGACTGTTTTCCGCTTTATGTTTTTTTGATTCACTCTGTTCTGGGCTTTCTTCTTTTTCATTCAGAATTCTCTTTCTGTTGGCAGCAACGGACTTTGATTTCGCAGGTTTATTGACCGCGCTCTCAACATCTTCTTGCGAACCACACGAGTTCTGATCATTACGTTTGCTGGTGCGTCGCGTAGCTCTTGAACTATTCAGAGAGGGACTTCCTGATTCACTTTCGGTCTTTTGTTCCAGAGTTTTCGACGCACTGGGCGAAGAACACGTATCTTTTTTCTCGGTCTTTTTGGCTCGTACGTTTTGTTTACGTTTCAGAGTATTGAACATTCTGTCCGCCATTTGCTTAAATCGCTTGTAACTCGATTCGCTATCTGACGAACTTGACGGATGATCGTCGTTGAGCAGAACTGGCGATTTATTCTTCGCTCGGTTTTTCTCGTCTTTCTCAGAATCTTGAGCACGTTGGCTCATTTTTGTCGTTACGCCTTTATTCGCATTGCGTTTTCTGCTCTTTGCGGCGGCTTGTTTGATGGTTTGCAAACTGCGCACAGTCGACGTCGATGACGCGGAAGGACTCGGTGGATTTGAGAGTGTCCCCGATATACTAACGGCCGGTAAACGAGTTAGAATGTCGTCGTCACTCTCATTCAATTCATTCAACGTTCGCACACGTCGTCCATCCTCCGATGGGCAAGATGGACGAACGATGAATTCGCTCGGCGAGCTCTTCTCTGCGTTATCGACTTCGGCTTTGCCAGAACTCTTTTCCAACGCTTTTTTGTTCTCTTCCGACGCGACTTCGCCTCTTTTTCGCGTCAAGCTTAATTTTCGAAGATTTCTCCCGCCATCCTTGCTTTTACTTGCATCATCGTCGTTTGAAGGTTTGACTGTCGCATCGTTCTTATTTTTCTGCGAACCTTGTTTTTCCTTCTTAGATTTCGAATTCTCGAATTTCTTATCATCGTTTGCTTTCGACACCTGCGAGGAAGTTATGCCTTCCGCAGGAGCTTCAAACTCTTGTGTATCTCTTATAATATTTCTCTTCCGTCTTGTGGTAATATTAGAAAAATAAATATCTTGCGAATCGTTGTGTTCGTTATTCACATTGTCAGTCTTCGCTTCGATACTGGGTAAGTTGCGCGAAGATCGATCGCGTAATTCTCGACTGTTTTTCGTTCCAATCTGTGACGCGTTTTCTATAGGAGCTTCGTTACCGACTTTGGATTTATCGGCGGACAAATCGTTATCGCACGACGATTCCAAAATATCTTCCAAAATTTGAGTGGACATCATCTGCGGCTCGTTTATGTCGTCGTTGATTACATTATCGAACATTTCGTTGAGATTTCGTTCAAGAGTGTCGTTTAGATTTACTTCGGCGGACTTATCGGTTTTTTCGCGCTCGGGATTTGTTTGCTCTTCAATCTCGCCGATCTCTTGAGTGAGCGCCATTTCGTACTCTTCATTTTCGCGATCAAGATCTCCCGGTGTACGACGATCGTCGATTTGACCGACGTTCGGATTGATAATTTGCATGGATGTTGCATCGTCTACGACGTTTTGATTATTTTTCGACGACGTATCTTTGAGATTCGCAAGTTCGTGGGAAACTTCGGATGATAAAATTTCCGAGTTCTTAATCCTATCGTTTACTTTTTGCGTGAGCAAATCGTACACATCTACAGACTCGACGCTAGTGCTCGGATCGTTTTTACTATTTCTCGAGAGCTCTTCAAGTTCCTCCTCCGCGTCTGTTTCGTCTGAGTCGTCAGCGGTTTGCTTTGATTGAGGTTTTTCACATTTCTTCTCCGAATCATCTATCTCATCGTTCTTCAAATTGTTGCCGGATAAAGCTGCGGTCTTGATGAGTTGAGTGGGAGCCTCAAAAATGTTATCATCGTCGCTGTGATCTTCGTTGTCGGACGCGTTTAACGCACTCTCGACGTTATTATTTCTTTCCGACGACGTTTTCGGTTTCGGTGTGGACGTTTGCGCTTCTACTTGATTCTCGATGCCCTCGTTGAAGAACTCCAACAGTTCTGTCGACTCGAGCAAATCGCCGCTCTGATTTAAACGCGAGGAAAGACGATCCTCATCAATTCCTGGCGAGGACAAGTTCAAAGATGCCGGGCTACAGGATCTGGATTTCGACGCGGATCCCGTGACTTTATCGCGATTACTCGCGCTATTAACAGCGTCTTCTGTGTTGTCTTTATCTTTGTCTTCATTAGCTCGATCACTGCTGGTCTCTTTCGTAGTGCCATCCGATTCAAGTTGAGTCTCCATGTTAGATATATCGCGGTTCAAATTTTTACTGCTAGTCCACGCAACTTGAGTTTCCATGTCGGATATATCGTTTGCGTTATTGCTAAAGTTTTGCGTATCCAAGTCAGAAATATCGCGCTCGACCTGTTGTGGACTTTTATCGCAATTTTTATTCTTACTAGTCAAATTGTTATCTTTTTTAACGACTTGCGTTTCCGAGTGAATATTAGTGATAAAATTCTTTGCAGTTTGAACATTAGTTCCGTCTATCTGAGTTTCCAGTTCGCTGATATTATTTGCGTAATACTTTTGCGTTTCTAAGTCGCAAATATCGGTAGCACGACCTTCATCTATTTTATCTTCAACAGTTGGTCTTACCGATTTCTTGCTAGCATCAACATTTGACTTGAGAAAATCGTCTGTGGAAAATCTTTGCGTCTCTACATCGTGAATGGATGCCGATTTCTTGCGTATTTCTTCGAAGCTTTGCGTTTCTACATTAAAAATGCTATTATCTCGATTTTCGCTCGTATCAGATTCTGATACGAGCAACGCGAGACTTGACACATTGTCGCTCTCATTATCGCTAAGAGACGAGCCGCAAGATAAATTCTTTTTACCGATATTCGTGGATTGATGTTGGGGCAACAACGGTTTTCGAAAGACGCTGTTTTCCTCGTCTCTTTGAGTCCCGAAAATAATGGATCCGTCGGTGCCGGATGACGTGTTCTGCGTAAATGTCGAAATAAACACGTTACGGTATACGAATTTCGCGCATTTTCTCTGCGTACGCAGTATAATAATGTAATACTTACGATAGACGAATCCGGTGTGTTCGGAATAATAGTGTCTGGCGCTTTTTTTCGCGATGGTGCAGGTGTTTCGGGTATCATCGTGTCTTCCGCTTGATATGTGTGATAAATCGCACGCACTTTTCCGAACTCAATGACGCTCCCATCCTTGAGCTCGTATGATCGTTTCGGACGTAAAATTAACTGTATTGTTGAAAATATTGTTGAAAATCAGATTAAACATTACGCAAAAAAATTAAATATTTATTTATATATATATTAATATCAAAAATAAAAACATGTTTAACTTAAGAAGCGAAAAAAGGCATCACAAAAAGATTGAGATAAGATAATTAAAAAATACGCAGTGAAAAGCTTATTAATTGTTGACGTTATATGTATTTTTTGTCTTATAATTGATAAAATGTGTTATAATAAAATATGGAACAAAATATATATAAATAATTACGTAAGCGCGTAATAATTTCACGACGATACGTTATTTTCGTATCGTGATATGTATTACAATTTTATTAAACGTAACTCACATGTGCTATAAAAGTTAACTTTTATAATTTATTATCAAAATTTTTTAGTGTCTATTAGAAGATTTTTAAACTCTTTTCTTCTTTCTGTGATATATCTATTAATAAAGATCAACTTGATATGTTTTTGCGTAACAGATATAAGTATATATATATATTGTGTTCCACATGCTTGATTTATTGGTAATAATTCCATTGATTGATCATTTCTTCGCACAAGCGGTATTATATAACAAACTGCTCAAATAATATGTACAACATAAGCACACAAATGTGATACGAAAATGAACGACAAATAAACGACAGACGCACTGTGTTAGGTGTGTGCGTAAAAAATAAAATATATTCATTACATTATTAAGCTTCGTCTTATTGGACGAATCCAGATCGCAAATCCATGTTGATCCTCCAGCAGCTTCGATCTCTGCGTGTACCTTCGACACAGACTGTAAAGAAATGAAAGAAAAAATTTACACATGTGTTACAGAGTTACTAGTCAACACATTTATCAATCTAAATATAATAAAAAATAGTATCCAACAATAATTCAGATGATGGAGAAGAAATGCGGAAAATCTCTCGGAGCAAACCGCTGATAACTCAGACGAAACAGACGCGGAAGAGGAACTTTCGAGAAATAGCAAGAATCGAAAAAAGGTTTTAAAATTTATATAATACATAATAATATATATATCTATATTAATTTAAAAGTTCATCTACCTCTTCATAATTTTATCTTCAAAACAAATTTTTAAAACGTAAGTGTACATAGTATACACTTTATAAATGTAAAAAAAACATCAACAGATACAAGATCAGCAAAGCAAAACAGTACATTTTTCAAATTTTAATCATTGAAGTGTTTTTCATATACAATTGCTGATGTTTGATGCAGAAAATTTATATACGCATTATCAATACAAAATACACTTCTTCACGCTTATCTTATTTAAGTACGTACATACACGAACACATGTTATTATATGACTATACGTATGTACATGTGATACGCGACTGTGCGAGAATACCAAGTATGATATATAACAAACAACCGGTATCGAAGAACAGTCAGTCCGCACTGGTTCGCTTCGAAGACAACACGTGAATCATGCTGGTGAAGCTGCTTATCATTTTCATTTGTACAGGCTTAGCCGTCCACGCAAATGTGGACGAGACTTCGCCGAGAGTCAAAACTCCCTTGGGAGGAATAAAGGGCTATTACAAAACGTCGCAGAATGGCAGAAAATACGAAGCGTACGAAGGAATTCCTTACGCGTTGCCACCTACTAAAAAACTGAGATTCAAGGTAAACATCGTAAAACAAAATTTATTACAAAAAGACTTAAACGAGATGAACGTTTCCGTCTTCTTATTGTGACTTGATTAGCTACGAATTATTACAAGTAAATAATAAACAGTGATCACGCACGCTGCTCGTGACTCCTCACTTCATACGTTGATTCGTTTTCTTCTTTTTTCATTTACAATTTGATTCTTAAAGATTTCATAGTTTATAATCATGTTTATCTTCTCGCAGCCTCCTCGTCCAATATCGCCATGGGTCGGCGAATTATCGGCCACGAAATTCGGTTCACCTTGTGTGCAATACACCCAGGAATCTGATTCGGATAAAGTGATAGGCGCCGAGGATTGCCTGTATTTAAATATTTACGTGCCAATGCGGGAAAAAACGACGAACAAAACTCCTATGCCGGTGCTGTTCTGGATTCACGGTGGTGCCTTTCAATTTGGCGGCGGTATATTTTACGGCGCCAAGTATTTGATGGATCACGACGTCGTGTTCGTCACGATCAATTATCGTCTGGGACCGATGGGTACGTGGTCGAAATTACGTCTCTCCAAATAAAATGATCGGAAATCACGATAGCGCGTTATTCTGAGATAATCTCAAATAATAATCTCTTAAAAACAAAAAAAAGACAAAGCTACTTCTCTCACTGTTTATTAAAGATAGTTATCAAAATATCAGGTTTCCTCAGCACGGAGGATGATGTGGTTCCCGGCAATATGGGTCTCAAAGATCAAAATATGGCTCTTCGATGGGTATCGGACAACATTGAGTGGTTCGGCGGCGATCCGAAGAAGATCACTCTGGTCGGTTGTAGCGCTGGCGGTGCGAGCGTGCATTATCATTACTTATCGCAACTAAGCGCCGGATTATTCCAAGGTACATAAACTACCTTGCTAAAGAAAAACACACAATGCAAAAACATAATAATAAATGATGAATATGATATAATCAGTCAAAAAAATTGAGTTATTTTGTAATTTCAACATTTCAGGAGGCATATCTGTCAGCGGCACCTCGTTCAACTGTTGGACGCAGACTGAGAATTCTCTGGAGAAGGCCAAGAAACTGAGCGTTCTGATGGGATGTCCTACAACTAGTACGAAAGATATGATACGCTGTTTGAGATATCGTCCGGCTCGCGCCCTTGTACAAGCTACCGCAGAATTTCAAGTACGTCTCTTTTTCTTTCTCATCTCGGTAAGACATTCGAAGCAAGTTTCGAAAGAAAGTTTTTTTGATTTCCTTTGTACGATCTCAGACGTTCTTCTACAATCCCTTCACGCCCTTCGGACCGGTGGTCGAAAAAGGCGGCGACGCGCCTTTCATTGACAGAACGCCCGCGGAAATAGTGAGTAGTGGAGACGTCCAGGACATATCGTGGATCACGAGTGTGGTGAGCGAGGAAGGCCTCTATCCTGTAGCCGGTAAGTTACAAACTAAGTCCGAAGAAAGAATCTTAGAAATGTGTTTTTTCTCATATTAATTATTGCTGTAGAATTCATCGCTAAAGAGGAAGCGCTGAAACAACTTAACGACAACTGGAAGATTCTTGCTCCGGATTTTCTCGACTTCAATTACACAATACCCAGAGAAAAACACGCCGAGACCGCTCATCTCATTAAGAAGCATTATTTTGGATCAAAACCGATAGATCGGCATAGCACAAAGCAACTGGTGCAAATGGCGAGCGATCGTTTCTTCGTGACCAACAGCGATAAGGCTGCGCGTATGCAGGCCAAAGTTAATCAAAATCCGGTCTGGTATTATTATTACTCGTACGAGGGAGCGGAAAGCTTGAGCTTTACTTTTACTCATACTAGAGAGAAATATGGTAAATCCAGATATACCACGCATATATTAACTTTTGTATATAAGTGTGTTGCACACTTTAGGAAGAAGATTTCAACTTGGTAAAAATGTATTGTTGTATATATTATATTTATAGGAGTCTCTCATGCCGATGATGCCTTCCTTATATTGGATACTCCTTATATTAACCCAACAACAACAGAAGAAGATCTCAAGATGCAGCAGAAGTTAATTGGGGTCTGGGTATCTTATGCCAGAGATGGGTAAGCACAAAAAATGTGTGCTAGTTTATTGCACACAATGTAGACAAAATAAAAATAACTAACATTTGCTTTGGAATTTTTTTTTCAGAATTCCAAAAGTAGACGGTGCGGAATGGTTGAAAGTTGATCCTTCAGCGAAAGAACTGCGTTATCTACACTTTTCTAGTCCTACAGAGATTAATATGGAAAGTAATGCCAATCTTGGAGAAAAAGAGTTTTGGAATTCAATTTCTTTTACCGAGAATGTTTTGAAATCACCACAATCTAACACCAGAAAAGAAGAGCTTTGAATGTTTTTAAGAAACATTCTTGTGTGCACGCATAAATGTTGCTTGTTAAATTTCCTAACTATCTGTATAAGATCTATATAGATTTGATTCAGATGATAACTCTTTTGTATACAAGTTTAGTGACTATTAATAATAAATATTTAATAAATGTTTTTTGTGATATTCTTAACTCACACAACAAATTCTTAATATTCCATCCACCTTATAATTTAATTCCTACAAATCACGAGGAGTGCATTAACTTACCTGGTCGCTTATGACAATGTCACAGCTACTAAGCCTACCAATCCTTATAAGTCCTTTCTTGATTTGATGATCAATAGAATCAATGCTTAATGTTCCAACCTAAGAAATAATAAAAGAATTTAATGTAAAAAAATGTAAAATATATATTGAATATTAATAAGCAACATATTGTAAATGTAAAGTAACACAGTCATGCGATTAAAAAAACTAATAAAAAAAATTTTAAGAAATGTATCTATTATTTAAAATTTACTAAAATTTAAAGCAAAACAACTAAGATATAACATGTGAAAAAAAAACAAAAATTCGAGAATGTATGTATGAAAGTGAGCAAAAATTTCCTCGTTTCTTTCCCACAGCACGCCATATCGTGTGTGTGCACATATACATAAATAAAGACTCGTTTGATCTTATGATAAATACTCGTTAACCTCCACTCGTTTAATTTTACGATAAATGCTCATTAACCTGCACTGATTGCTCTTCTTCGGGAGCCCATGAAATTCTCTGAGTGGATGGAAAATCTTCGTCATCGTAGATCTGCGTAGCTGAGAAATCCATTGTTATTGGAACCTGTTTGTAACACGCGACATAAATATAACCTTTTTCGCGCAATTACATAAAACGCCCGCACTCAAGTTCATATATTATTACTTGACACACAGAAACAAAATTTCACAAATATATGCGAACATTTTAACATCAATGACGCTCAAAAATTACATTAAATACAACAACAATTTCCCGAAAAACAGACTGCGCACTTGATCCGGCTTGACCAGGCTTGACTGGAGTTTGACGCGGCGTTCCCGCCATAAAGCTTATTACATCACAAGTTGTAATTTAGGGTTACAGACATTACGGTTGATAATCGCAGACTGACCAATAATTGAACAAGCTGCATCGATCTGATTGGTCGATCTGCAATCGTCTCTTTCTTTTGCACAAAATTTACTAGGATATTTGTTTTCTCATACGTCAAATTCTAGTGACTTTATTCTTTGATAAATTTTTCACACCGCGCACAATGGCGGCAACATTAAGAAAAAAAAAATCGCCCGTAAACGGCGCGAAGATAAAACACGATATCTTAATATACATTGCTAAAGAAATGTTTCGAATCTCGTTTTTATTTACATGTTGTAGATATTTTGTTGAAAAAATTTTGAGAAATATAAAAATATACATATATAAACATATATATAGAGCAATAAAAATTGTTGTCTGATTGCAGCAAAATATTTGATTGTTCGGAAAGTACGTAGCGGTTTTTAATAAAATTTAAAGACTCATCGTATTGACACACACATAATTTAGTTTCTGTAAATGCTCATATACGATATTGTTCGATCTATCTGCGCGATATCTCATCTACGTGTATCAGACATAAAATACCGTATCTATTGGAAACGCTTTGCTTTCCGAACACAATCCAATATATTCTTCAATTGGACTAAATAACTTTTTTTTAATTAGTTGTTCTGGCACCAGAAATATGCATTATCGAAAAGTCGTTGCCACGCCGACATTTTGTAGTTCTCGAAGCATTTTTTATCGTTGTTCCACTCTTTTGTCCACTGCGACGGTTTCCAAGGCCACTGCCACACTTCTGTACATCTCTCCGGGTGCGGCATCATCGCTAAATGTCGACCGTTTTTGGAGCAAACAGCCGCGATACCCTTTACGCTGCCGTTTGGATTCATTGGATATCGTTCAGTAGAGTTGCCTTGATCATCCGTGTATCTGACACACACACAAATATAGAATAACATATTAAAGAGAATAAACATCTAAATAATTTATTTGCATATAAAAACATACCTGATCGGCAAGCAGTGATTTTTTTCGAGATTCTTCAAAACATCTTCGCGGAAAGTAAATCTGCCTTCCCCGTGAGCCACCCATATCCCGAGAACGCTACCTGCCATATCTCTCAACATAATTGAGGGCGAATTTTCGATTCTGACGGTACTCCATCTGCACTCGAATCTCCCCGAGAGATTGTGATCCAAGTGAATTCCCGATTCGTTTTTAGCGTTGTCTTCGTCGCCCACCCAGTTTAGCATGCTCATCAGCTGACAGCCATTACAAACTCCCAGACTGAAAGTATCCTCCCGATCGATGAATCGCTGCAGCTGTTCGCGCAGAGACGGATGGAAGAGAAAAGTAGCCGCCCATCCTTTGGCGGAGCCGCAAACATCAGCGTAGCTGAAGCCACCGGGGAAGATAACACCTCTGAAAACTTCCAAGGTGACGCGATTCTCCAGCAAATCCTGCATTGTGACATCCCAGACGTCGAAACCGGCTTTCTGCAGACAGGCCGCCATTTCTCGGTCTCCATTGATACCTTCCTCTCTTATAACAGCTACCTTGATCTCTTCGCCCAACTTCGGCCGATCTCTCGGATCGAACGTCAGATGATAGGCGGGAACGGTTCGTTTCTCAAGACCGTCGTATTCCTCTTGGGCGCAGATAGGATTCGTTTGATGGCATTCCAGTTGATAACTCGTGTCTTCCCAGATTCTCATCGTCTTGTATACAGTAGTGTCCAAAACGATTTTATTGTGCACTTTGATAGTCACTTTGGAGTGTATCCCGAGACCTACGGATTTTCCGATTACGTACGCAGGAACGTCGTTGTAATACTGGAATATTTCTAACACTTTATTTTTGTGATGCTCATCGACTTCTAACACCCAGCCGACCTCCTCGGAGTATAAAATCTCAACGGCGGACGCGGATCTATGACTTATGTCGACCTCTATTCCGGATATACCACCGAAGCACATTTCCAAGAGACACGTGATCAACCCGCCGTCGCTGACGTCGTGGCCAGCGAGAACGTAACAGTTAGCGATTAGCCACTGAGTGGCAACGAAGGCGTTCTTGAGAATTTCTGCGTCTTCGATATCTGGCACGTCATCACCCAACTGGTTGAAGACTTGAGCCAAGGCCGTTCCTCCGAGCCGGCTCTTCCCTTTAGACAGATCGACGAAGATCAGACAACCTTCTTTTCCTTTGGCGGGGGCTTTAAGATCCGGTGTGATCACCTTTTCGATATCGTCACAAGGAGCGTAACAAGATACGACAAGAGTGCCAGGTGCCTTGACGACGTCCTTGCCGATACGCGCGGCCATACTGAGCGAGTCCTTGCCGCCATCGATTGCGATCCCGAGCTCCTTCATTAGCGAGCACATCGCCGAGCAGGCGTTATAAAGCGCCGCGCCCTCACCCGGAAGTTTCGCCGGCCACATCCAATTGCCGCTACACTTTACGTCTCTCAGATCGGTAATCGGCGCGAACACCAGATTGCTCAGAGCCTCAGCCACTGTCATTCGCGCGCCGGCCTCTTCATTCACAAGTCCTTTAATCGGTTGCTCGCCGATTGAAGTCGCGATGCCCTTGTTAGAGAAATACGAAACGGCTGCTACAGCGACGTCTGCCACGGGAGTATGCAAAGGACCGACGCATTGTTGCTGAGCTATCAAACCAGTCACGCAACGATCGACCTTGCTTGTCAGATACCTGTGCGTAAAACATTCGATTCTTCTCTTTTTAATATCTTCCAAAGAAAAATATAAAAAATATATTAAAGCACTCAGTGTTTTTGGTTTTACACAAAAAATGATGAGAAATATATAAAAGTAAAAAAATAACGATAATAAGAGCACGTACCGCTTGCAAGCCACAGAAGGTAGCCGAAGAACTCTGTCTAAAGCCTGAACCACAGTTACTTCATCTAACTTCAGTGAAAACTTCTGTTGGGATGCTCTCTGTAGATTGAAGACTTTACGAGGCATTTTTCCAAGAATAACCTCTAATTCCAGATTCACCGGATGCTTATCGCTATCTAGACTTTTATCTTGATCCTCGAGATACTTGGATTCGTCAGTGTTGTCCTCTTCGGAAACGATGATTTTTCCATTTCCAGTGACGGTACCGACAAAGTTGATCGGACATTTTTCACGCGCGGCTATTCTCTTCAGCAAATCGCTGTCTTCTGGCTTGCACAGAATTGCGTTGCTCTCTTGGTACTCCGCGCCCCAGAGCTCCAGCGTGCTAATGCTGGGATCGCCGAGATCGAAGGTCTTCGTGAAGATCACGGCGCCAGCAGGTTCCACCAGCTCCTTCAGAACATTACCGTTGCCGCCCGCGCCCTGATCGTGAATACTGAGAATCGGATTGTTCTCCATTTCTACGCACGCGCGCACCACACGATTCAGTTTCTGCTCCATCTCAGGATCACCGCGTTGAACCGCACCGAAATCAAGTTCCTCGCTGTTGTCACCCTGCACCTCCACAGAACTCGCCGAACCGCCACCCACGCCGATTCGATAGACGGGTCCGCCGATTTTGACCACTTTCATGCCCCGTTCCGCTGGAATCTGAAGAGTTTGCAAGAAGTATATGTTTACGAGTTATTACTGATTCAATTTTGAAAGATGTGATAAAAGGATAAGTCCCATTCTATTCTACTACGTCAAATTTACCTTGTTAATAAGATTCTCATCCATAGTTCCCAGACCTCCGCTGAACATGATAGGCTTGATCCACTCTCGTCTGACTCTCGCATCGTCTGTTCTACCGTAGGAACGCACGAAGCCGCAGATAACCGGTTCTCCAAATTTATTGCCGTAATCGGAAGCGCCGTTACTTGCTTCAATTAATATTTCTAATGGCAACGCCATATTGTTAGGATAAACTGCATTCTTGTCTTCCCATGGCAAATTATACCCTGTACGAAGTTACATACAAGTTATCATACATTTCTAAATATTATTTATTATGTTTTTTAAACAGATCGGTAAATTTATAAAACCAAAACTTTAATGTACCTGGAATGAGAAGATTGCCAACACTGTAACCAGCAGTGCCCGCTATGTAATTTCCTCCTCTTCCAATTGCTTGAATGTCTCTCAATCGACCCCCGGTACCTGTTGTGGCTCCACTGTAATAATATTATATGTACTTCCCTCTGCATATTCCGTATATTGTATTCAATATAACAAACTTTAAGTTATTTTTTTATTTTATTCTATAAAAACGTAAGTTTACCTAAAAGGTGCGACACCAGTTGGAAAATTATGAGTTTCTGCTGTGAAGATAAGATGCTGGCCCGTGCAGTTCTTTCCGAAATTGCTGCATCTGTCAGATTTGGTAGGACGCAGAACGGGGACTTGATATCCTTCGATCGCGCTGCTGTTATCGCTAAATTTAATCACGTTATTCGGATGCGAGTAATTTTGCGTGTCTATGATCATGTCGATTAAGGATTGTTCTTTCTCTTCACCGTCCAAAACAATACGTCCTTTGAAGAACCAATGGCGACTGTGTTCGCTGTTCGATTGAGCTAGGTCAAAGCATTCCACGCTAGTCGGATTGCGTTTTAGTTTCTGAAGAAACAATTCTGTATAAAAATCTAAGTCCCAGTCATCAAATGCCAGACCTGCAAAATAAAATTATAAAATAGATTAATTTTAACACTCAACACAGATTCACACATACGTGCGCACACATACACACACACACACACATCACACAAATCAATTATATTAAAAATAGAAAGAAAAATAAAATAAAACGAAAATTATAATTAAACTACATTCAAAATAAAATGATAAACTATATTCAAACTTTAAGAAAAATTAGCATCTGATAACAACAAAACAAGATAATACTGAAAAGATTAATCTGGAAAAAAACAACGTCACTATTAGAGACTTACGTAATATTTTTATCATTTCCAAAAAGGAGATTTATTTGAACTTGTATAAACTTCTTGTGTGAGCTTCTGTGTCAATGAAACAATTTTCATATTTTGATTTAGGAATATTATATAGCTATATCTAAATATTAAGTTTTAATTGAACTTCTAAACTTAGTTTTTTTTTAACTTGGTGCTCTGAGCATAGTTACCTAATTTCGAGTTGACTTCTTCCAATGCCTTTCTGCCTTTTTTCATTACATCGACTTCAAACCATTTTTCGGGTTTGAAACCGTGATCAAACGTTTCGATAGGTTTTAAATATCTGCATTCTGTCATCTTATCTCCCAAAACGTTTACAATCTAAAACAATCGATTTTCTTCTTTAAATGAAATATATATATTAAAAATATTTAGTATTATAATAACTTAATGTAAAAAACATATTTACAGCATTTTCTACTTCTTTGCTAAATGTTCCTGTATGCTTGATGTTGTATCTGACTGCAGTTTCAATTCTTGTTATTTTGTCTAACTTGACAGATTTACAGATGGAAACTGCGTTGCTGGAAAATGCTGTTGAAAAATTCAGCCTGCAATAAAAAGAAGTATTTTAAATTGTTTGGAAAAAAACAAAACTCCACTAGTTTTCTCGAATATAACTACACAGAACATTTTATATAAAACTTTATTAAAAATTAACATCCATTTTTTAGACGTCTGTAATTAACTTTATATCTGTATGGGCAAATTATATTACCTGGGTCCAATTTCGATAATAGTAGCATCTTGAACGTCGTCAAAAACGCTGCTGGACCGAAAACATTCCCGTTCAAAAGGTGGTGCTAAGATCCATTTTAATGTACGAACTTCTTTCTCGTTCAGTGAATCTGTCGTTTCCACGTAATAACATGTTTCGGTCTCAAGAGCAATTACCGAAGCCTCGATTTGCGTGACCTTGCGCAGTTTGTTCTTCAGCTGGCCCGCTTTTAGACCAGGTGTTTTGTAGAACCGGAGGATTCCCATCTCACACAGACGATGGATGCGGGAACAACTTTAATGAAACCGACAGCAAACACGCAGAAACTATGAGAGATAAGAAGAAATAAAGTGTGTGGTGGCGGTCTTCACCATTGCTCAATAATTAATATCATATTGTAAGTTGCATCAAAGTCGGAATTATTTCGATCTCTCGTAAGAGAGTCTTCTACGTTGGGGGTATTGACGCAATCGAGAAAGAGAAATAACAAATCTAAACAAACTGATAGCATTGAATTCGTCTAATTGATCTCGAATCAACTTATCTTAACATACAGTGCAAGCGTTTACAAATTTTATAATCGTTCGGAGTTAATAATCTCAAAATAGAAATAAATTTGCATCTAACATCTTGAAAAAATTCTGGTAACAAGATGACCAATTGCAAGACTAAATAAAATTACATTTAAGTAAATAAAAATATTTATTATAATACTTGAATATTATAAATACATTTAAATGGTTATTTTTTAAATTTTGTTCATGTAATTCTTCTGTTATGTAATTTTTTGTTTAGAAATATTTATAGAAAAATTTCTTTTTAATTATATACTAGGATCCAAGGACACACTGGAGGTGGTATTCACAGTTCGATCTTATGTTTAAGAGACTATTTTAAGTTTTATCTTAAAATGCACATCCGTCTCATTAGCTACACACATTATCTTAAGATAAACTTAAGATAATTTTGTGAAATATAAGACCAAACTATGAATACAGGTCTGGGAAAATATTCGAATGATTTATGACGAGGTCGTTGATGTTATCGGTTGTTTATCACTTTGTGACGTTCACCCGGCTAACTCGCTTTACGTGATACGAGTGTCAATTGCTCCAACGATGTAGAAAGAAAATATAAAAAGTCACAGAGTTGCCTTGAGAAGTAATCTTGAAAATATAATTGTACCGGTTATTTAAATTCTTCTCTAGTTTATAAATAAGTTTCATTTTATAAAAACACAAGTATATAGTTTTTTTTTTATTACAATAATGATTTATTGATCTATAAATGATCTGTAACCTACTGAATCTCCGTGTTTTTTCTCTCACATGGTTTTAGTAACAGAATATATACATACCAGTAGCTTAGGAAATTACACGAAAGAAACACAACATGCAATAATTAACATGTAACATTCCCGTTGATGCGCAGTAATCAACTCTCTGGACCAATCAGATTAAACATCATGGTGAATCAATTTGAATCAATTCCGATTGGAACAATTCCGTTGTTCAACAATTTTTATTAGACAATTGGAAACAATGCGATGAAATCGAAATGGTTCTAGTAACGTTGTAAGCAAATGGCTTCCGAACAAAAAGTGAAAAAAGCAACGTTGACAAGTAATGACAACCGAAGTAAAGAGGAGGTTATAATATATCTTGGAGATCCTACTTTTTCGTATTACTTGGGCTGCGATCCGATATTCGCTGCCAGTACTAAAAAAATATATACTTCACGTCGCATGTGCTATAGATTTCCAAGTACAATGAATAAAGATTACATTTATATAAATATGCCCTATATTAAATGTACGTTTTGCGATACTCCTGTTTTTTTTTTTTTACATCTTCCTGGCTTTGTATTTGAAAACAAACCCAAACAAGGTCCTTAATTCTTGAAAAACTTTCGTATACGAAACTCTACTGTTAATGTACTAGACTTTAGTATACGCAAATTGTTGAAGAATCGAGGTCCAGGCACGTATCTTTCTTATTTAATAAACATATTGCTTTGCTAAGGCTCTTAAAAATTTAGCTTTTCGAATATTGGCCGCTTCTCTTTGAATCTCTTCGTTATTATTAGAGTTCAATTCCAACAAACCGATAACTTTGATCTGTAAGAAAATGAGTTGTTTTACATTAAAATAATATGTTACGTTATTCGATTAAAATAATATGTTACTTTATTTGATTCTTTACCGCAAGTTGTTTTCTGTGATGTTCCCCGCGTTTCGTATGCAAATGTATGAGGTATTCGAGTATCGTCGTGTCCCAGATACAGTTGTAGTAAGCATCCATAGCGTCGGCGGAGGCGCAGCTTTTTTGATCGCTGGCTGCCATCTTGAACGCCAAAGAGTAATCCACTTCTTCCAGAAACTGACACAGCACAGCTGCTTGGGTGTAACACTGCAAGTGGGCGCAGCACTTGATCATTCGTCTATAAACGAGATCGTCTATTTGCGTGCGTGGTATAGGCTGACTGAATAAATCACTGGCAACCATAATTGCCTCCAAGTAATATTTCATTGCGCTTTCGTAATACGCTAAAACTGTGGGAAAAGAAACAAAATGATACATTATCTCACGCACAAATATATATTCTATGTTATTTGTATTGTAAAAAACGCGAACCGAAATTGAGATCACCCATCAATCTCAACCAGGACACATTGCAGGGATGGTATTTCAAGGCTTGCAACAGTAATTGGAACAACAGTTCTCCAATGTATCTAATGTTGTACGAATTTGCACTGCAAATCAAGTATTATATTAATAGTAATTTTGCTAATGTGTAAAATCATGAATTTCAACATCAATGTGCATAAATAAAATATACGCACTTCGGTATTCCAGCGGGCCATAGAGCCAAGTATTGCGTGTGTAACTCCAGACTGGACTCGTCACGTAAAATATTGCGCAAACGTGCCAATAGAGATATGACTACAGCAAGGACTCTTTGATCCCGCAACCGCGTGAACGTGGTGGTGATAATTGCGGCCATGTCCTTTGAAGAACCGCTGCTGGAACTACCGCTGTTGCTGCTGCTACTCGCGCTTCGTTTCTGCGGCTGATCTCTGTTTGGACCGAACGCTGTTAACACTGAGAAAACACGCGATTTGAATCTTTGAAGTTTTCTGTACGACGATGTTTAAATAGATAAAATTACGTACCCATATCCCACGCTTCGCGCGGAAATTTGCGGGTTCCTTTGTACTTGATAACATCTTGGCAAACACTGCTGATGACAGCTGCGAATTCGGTATAACTCCAGCGTTTCTCTAAATTGATGAGATATTCCCATTCACCCATATTCAGAAGAAAGACCGTGCAATATTCTATGATTTCCTGCCGCGGGATCAGCTGATCGGACGCTTGCAACGCACTGAGGCACTGTTTACTCCGCGTAACCATACTCGATCTATCACCTGAAACAGTACTTGTTTCGTATACCGAAATAATTGAATAAATTTGCTGTTTTTTTTTATCTTAATATACGTACAGATATTCGTCGCTGGCCATGCGTAAAAGCACTTCCATATTTCGACGAGCAGACATTCCCAGTTCACCAATTTTGACAGCTTGAAAATCGCCGAACCTCCGCTCTTCATGGTATCCTCCAGCTCCTTGTCCAGGACCTTGAGCAGCTCAATGGCACAGTCAAAATTTTTTGCGGCCACTAACTCCCGACTCTTTGCGAGTAATACATAGGAATAATCCTGAAGGAAACCTCTGGGAAGCGACATTATCACACTTTGCAGAGGGATGGGCAAGTCCCAACAGTTGTTAATATGCACCAGCGGTTTTATGATATGCTTTCCCTCCAAACGAATCAACATTTCGTGAATCACATCGTGATCGTACGATTCCATCAGTTTTTGTTCTAGTTCGAACATCTCGATTCTTGAGCTTTCTGAGAGTTACAACAAAACCGAGATTATCGCACACAAAATAACATCGTAAAATATATATGATTTTTATCCTTCAAATTTATACTTATTTATACTTACTTATGTACGGTACGGATGGTATACCCCAATTGTTGTGAAGCAACAGGTCTGGTAATTCAGACGCATTGTCAGTATCCGCCTCTTGAATGGCGGCAAGTTCCGTTTCGTCGAACAACGACGAGATAGAAGCATTGCTGAGAATTTTGCCAGCGAGTTCTTCCACATCAGCGGTGTTCACAAGATAAAGAAGATACCGCGCAATTCTTTTTTTGTCTGTGGACGATGCTTTTTCCAGAACATTTTCTATAGCCTACAACATCAAATGTAAAATACAGCGTCTAATAGTAGTATAAAAAATAAATTACAAAAAATAAACTTCAAAAAAGGTACTCAACCCATAAAAAAATATCCAAACCCTTTGAACCAGCTGTTTTAATTTCGTTCACATAATCGCCTATAATTATGCTGCTGTCAAGAACTTTCCTAATCAGATTCAGGCATTGTATTTGCAACAGAAGATTCCGATCGACCACGTATTTCTTGTTAATCAATCCGCCTTGCAAGTCCAGTTCCAAATTGTCTCTATAAACTTCGGGGATCTCCCTGTAAACATTATCTGCTTGCAAAATCTGCAATATATTCTGCAGATTTTGCATGTAATATAAATATACGTTAATACATAAGTACACATTGATTTTATATGCATGAAATTATACCTACAGTATATTGATCTTTAATAGAAGTGTGCAAACGCTGTGTCAAGGTGGGAGTGTGTCCCTCTAAAACTACTTTGCAAGCCAAACAACAACCATCCAAAAATTCCTTCTGTACTTTACAGTACACCAAATTCTCAGTAGAATCGAGCTTGTTATGCAACTCCTTTGCTTGTTGAATGTGACAGGTTGCATCTTCATATTCTTCTTTCAATAAATGAAACATTGCCAGATCATAATGTATCTAAACAGTAGATTTAAATGCTTTATTAACTCTGTAAAAACAATATTTGTAGCCATTAAATTATTTACCTGACACTTAAACTCATCTACATTCACCACACACATATTTTCCCAATTTTGCTTGATTTCTGTACTGTCCTCTGTTAACATTTGAAAAGTATCAAATGAGAGAATCTTTGGCTTTATGTTGGGCATTTGTAAAATAGCATTTAAAACATTTACACTGTCAGATACATGAGTTTCCAATTTTCTGATAATATCATCCACTATTCCAGGTGGCATATAGGTTGATTCTTGAGTACCTGGTCTGATTTATACACACAAAATAATTTTAACCCTTTACTTTTCAAACCTTAATACACATTATATATTAACAAAATTAAACATACATATGAAGCAATTGTTGTTTTGGTTGTTTATTGTTGAGAGCTCTGCAAACAATTGCTCTCAAATGCCATCTGTGATATAATACTAATGTGAACAAAAGCTGATCGGAAACCTTTTCCAAACAATATTCTGGAATTGAAGGTATCTCCACCACGACATCCGCAGTGATAAAAAACAAATCTTGCAGCAATGTCACTTGTATAGGTAATGGTAGCTTTTTTTCCAAAATATCTAAATTCCATTTGAGGCTCGCTGCAACTTTCAAAGAGAGTATTTTCAATGCCAAATTCCTGTGAGACAACTGGATCGCGCCGTTGGATTTCACGTCGTTTGATTCAGCATCGACTGCTTTCGTCTCAGTCTCTTTTTGATCGGAGCTAATTGTCATAAACTTGATTATCAAATCTGTAGGCGATGGATCTAAAAACACCGTGAGTAATTTATTTATACATAATTTAGATATTTTTATCAACGATATCCGTAAGTAACGTTGTTTACCTGGAGATGATTTTGACAGATGCTTCTGCAATAGAGAAGGATTCAATAAAAATTCAAACCATAGTATCGTGTCCGGCGAAATCGGCACAGTGCCTGGTCTGAGCAAGTCAACGTCCATAATTTTGTTTTCGCGAGAAAAACCTTATTACTAACGTGTTACATTAATAAATCCCTTTACAAAATCTCGCCGATATACATCCGGTAAGATAAAAAACAAACTTGAATGCAACACGAGAGAGAAGCCAGCGCCGCAATGTGCATGTTCTTGCAACTACGTGGTCATCCCCGCAAACAATCTGCAGTTGATAATAATGCTATGTGCACAAATTTGTTGATTCTAATCTTTGATACTTGTTTTTATTAATAATCCTATCAGAAAAAGCGTGTGCAAATAATCAGAATCGATTCTATCGATCTTAACAATTAAACAATATAACATTAAATATTATATATGATATGAAGAATATATTAAATAATATATATTATACATATAATTTATTATATATTTATATAATTATACTTTATATTATATAATATATACTTGAGCAAAAGGATAAGGCGCACCTCTCAGCCATTTTCGAGAAAACTCGATTTAAATTATATAGCGAAGTGTAGCTTATATACCGTTAAGTTAGTAATATTTTCGAGAACCGCTGCGTAGCGCAGGTGCTTAGGTGCCTGACTACTACGCTGGAGACTAGG